GGTTGGTTTACAATAGAATATTACTCAGCCTCAAAAAGGAATGAAATCTGGCCATTTGTGACAACATGATGGGCGGACCTAGAGGGCATTATGCTAAGTGACCGAAGCCACACAGAGAAAGACAAACACCATATAATCCACTTACATGTGGAATATAAAACACAAAATAAATGAACAAACTGAACAGAAACAAACTCACAGATATGGAAACTAATTGATGACGGCCGGCAGGGCAGTTGGGGAAATGGGTTAAAAAGGTGACGGGATTAAGAAGTAAATAAAAAAGGACTAAAATTAGTCAAGGAGATGTAAAGAGTATCACACAGAATAGAGTCGCTAATATCCTAATAACTATGTATGGTGTCAGGTGGGAAGTAGACTTATGGGGAACGTCGCTTTGTAAGACATAGAAATGTCTCATCACTGTGTTGCACGCCTGAAACTAATATAACGTATGTCAACTGTAACTGAAAAGTAAGGAGTTATTTTAAAGAATTTCAAGGAAGAAAAAAGAACAGCAACCCACCAATTAAGAGCTATAACCACCAAACGGAATGCAGTGGGGGGAAGGGATGGTGGTCCTATCTACACTATAATTCAAATCAATTATTCAAAATTCTGGCAGTCAGAGAAATTTGAGCATGATAGGTAATTTGTAATATGAAGGAAGTGTTGTTGACTGTTAGAGGTGTCATAATAATATAATGGTGAAGTGATTTGTCTGTATTTTTATTTTATTTGGATATAATGGACATATACGTTTCAGGTATACAACATAATGATTTGATATTTATATAGATTGCAAAATGATCACCACAATAAGTCTAGTTAACATCTGTCACCTCACACAGTTACCGTATTTTTTCTTTATGATGAGAACTTTTACGAGTTACTGTCTTTAGCAACAATCAGCTATACAATGCGTATTATTAACTATAGTCACCTTGCTGCATATTGCATCCCCATGACTGACTTATTACTGGAAGTTTGTGCCTCATAACCCCCCACCCCTTTTGCCCACCCCGACCCCTCTCGCAACCACCGATCAGTTCTCTGTGTCTATGAGCTCATTTTTGGGTTTTCATTTTAAAGTCCAAGTATAAATGATATCACGCAGTGTTTGTCTTTCTCTGTCTGACCTCTATCACCACCACGCTGTCAAGATTCATCTATGTTGTTACAAATGGCAAGATTTCCTTCTCTTTATTTCTGAGTTATATTCCCTTTTGTATATATGTCACATTTTCTTTATCTATTCATCTATTGATAGACACCTGGCTTGATTCCATATCTAGGCTTCTGTAAGCAATGTTGCAGTGAACATATACGGGCACGTACGTCTTTTCAAATTAGCTTTTGTTTTCTTTGGATAAATACCCAGAAGTGAAATTGCTGGGTCATGTCAAGAGCACGGGCTTTGACGTTTGTGTTACCTGGGTTTACACCTGTTACTCAGGGTGGCTTTGGGCTAAAGCCACGCCTCTGAGAGCGGAGACGGATTGGTTGTTAGAAGTGTTGGTTTTGTCAGGTGTGATGATGACACTTCGGGTGTGTAACCAAATGTCCTTTCCTCTTCTTCCTCCTCTTCTTCGGCGTGTAAACCGAGGCATTTGGGGAGCAGGAAACAATAGGATGTTTGGGATTTGCCTTACAATATCCTGCAGCCAGAAGAGAAGGTGGCAGTGCCGTGGCAGGAGGAGGACCTATAGCACAGGTACAGCGTGACGCTGGCAACGGCGGAAGCGGGCGATGAGTCTGTGGGGGGAGGGGGCGGATCTGTGCTCTCCAGATGCTTATGTAAGTTGGAAAGTTTTTGTAATGAAAGTGAACAAACTAAAAAAAAAAATGAGGCTTTCTTTTTTTTTAATATATTAAAAAATTTAAAACCATTATAAAGTCTCAGCAATTAAAACAACATGACACCAGCACAGAAATAATCAAGTAGATCAATGCAATATAATGAGCATTCCAGAAATAAATGTATATATCTGTCTAATAATGTAATATATGATTAAATTAATATTTCATATCAATGGGGAAAATAAGGCTTATTCAAACAAATAAGGTGCATGGACCACTATGACTTGAAATAAAACAAATATAGAGCCCTATTTCACACATTATGCAAGAAATATTCAGGTGAGTTAAAAATCAATACGTAGAATCTAAGGAGTTTTAGGAGAAAATACAAACTAATATTTTTCTTACCCTGAAGTAAAATATTCAAACCCAGAAGCTATAAAATAAAATATTGACAATATGACCATATTAATCATTTAAGACTATATAGTAATTCGCATATAAAAAGAGTTTAAGGACAAGTAGTAGAATGGGAAAGTATTTGCAACACATCTAAAAAAGGGTTAATAGTTGGGGGTTTTTTTAGGGAAAAAATTCTACATACCGTTAATCAATAAATGGATAAAGAATACAATAAGTCAGCCCTAGCCGGTGTGGCTCAGTGGCTTGAGCTCAGGCCTACGAACCAAAGGGTCGCTGGTTCAATTCCCAGTGTAGGGCACATACCTCGGTTGTAGACCAGGTCCCCAGCAGGAGGCACTTGAGATGCAACCACACATTGATGTTTCCCTCCCTCTCTTTCTCCTTCCCTTCCCCTCTCTAAAAATAAATAAAGAAAATCTTAAAAATAAAAAGAATACAAAAAGTCATCTAAAGCTTTTTAAAAATAATAGGAATAGGCAAGAAATATACAAAAACAGGTTTAGTTTAAACAAATAATAAAGAAACAATTAAAATGACACATCATTGTCACAATCAGATTAATACATATTAAAAATATTGGTAATATCAAGTACTGGCAACTGTGAAAGGATCTGGGTATTCATAGACTCTTTTTCTTCCTCTTAAAGCAGTCCCTTTAGCATATTTTGCAGAGCTGGTTTGGTGGAGGTGTATTCTTTTAGCCTTCTTTTGTCTGGGAAACTCCTTATTTTGCCTTTTATTTTAATTGAGAGCCTTGCTGAGTAGAGCAGTCTTGATTGCAGGCCTTTGCTTTTCATGACTTGGAATATTTCTTGCCATTCCCTTCTGGCTTGTAGTGTTGCTGTTGAGAAGTCAGCTGCTAGCCGTATCGGGTCTCCCTTATATGTTCCTACCAGTTTCTCCCTTGCCGCCTTTAGGATTCTCTGTCTTTGCTATTTGTCATTTTAATGATGATGTGTGGCCTCATTGGGTTCCTTTTGAGTGGGACCCTCTGTGCTTCCTGGACTTGTGTGACTTTCTCCTCCAATTAGGGAAGTTTTACATCATTCCTTTTTCAAACAGAGTATCTATACCTTCCTCTTCTTCTCCTTCTGGTATCCCTGTTATATAGGTATTATTACGTTTCGGGTTGTCCTGCATTTCCCTCAATGCCTCTTCATTCTTTTTTAGTCTTTTTTCATTTTCTTCCTCTGTCTGGGAGCTTTTTTCTACCTTATCCTCTAGCTCACTGATTCAATCCTCGGCTTCATCAAGCCTGCTTTTGATTCCTTCTACTGTGTTCTTCAACTCAGAAATTGTATTCTTCATTTCCTCTTGTCTCTTATTGATAGTTTCTATGTCCTTTTTCATGCTGATATAGTTTGCAGTTCGTTCCTCATAGTTTCCCTGTAGTTTTTTGTAATTCTCTCTGAGCTCACTGAGCTCATTGAGCTTTCTTAGAACCATTGTCTGGAACTCCATATCTGATAGTTAACTTGCCTCTATTTCATTTAGTTCTCTTTCTGGGGATTCCTCCTTTCCCTTCGACTGGGGAGTGTTTCTTTGTCTTCCCATTATTTGTGAGCCTCTTCTTTTTTGTTTCTGTTTCTTCAACAATGAGGCTTTCAATTCCCTACCCAATCAGACATCACCTGGACATAGGATGCGCTTTTCATAATCACCCCTCTGGCAGTTTATTTTGATTCTCTGGGTCGGGCCCAGCTCTCATCCGTCATCTCCTCTAGACTCTGGCAGGGAACAGTGTCCTTAACAAGGCGTGCCAGGCCCAGTGCTACGGAGGCGATTGATTTGGATTCTACACCCACAATTTTAAAGTGACCAGTCTCTTCTTGGGAGTGACTTGAATAGAGGAGTCTCATTTGCAGGTATTGCCTCCCTCTCCCACTTCTTCAGGGGGGCCTTTGGGTTAATGTTTCCTCCAAAGGGAAAACAGCATTGGGAGGAACAGCCTAACCCCGTCTAGAAAAGCAAGGAACCGAAGGAACGCCGTGCAGGGTACAGAGTGTAAAGTGAGGTTAGCGGTTTGACTGTCAGAGGAGAAAAAAGGAGAAATGAATGATCTCCGCTCATGGTACTCACAGCTAGAGGAAGGAACTATGGGAGTCAGAGCAAGGAAGAGAAAAAGAAAGAAAATCTGGAAATAAAATTGGGATGAGTGGGGAGAGGAGGGAGTGGGGGAAAAGTCTGAGAAATTGCAGGGGGGCGGGAGGGGTGGTGGTTGCACCAACACTGGGCACAAACACCAAAATTTGTCCATTTCTGGTTTTTATTAAGAATACGTGAGCACACGTATTTATCTGCTGTGCTTTGATGACGCTGGTGGTGGCGCACTCCTCTAAGAGCGTGGAAGGCCCGAAGCTGTGCTCAGAAGCTTCCCACCCTAGAAATGAGCCCAAAGTTGGGCCGCGGCTGCCCCGCTGACCACCTTTTCTTCCCTACAGCTCCCTGGAGCTGAGACCATGGGAAGAGATGCTACGCTCCCCTGTGGGTACCGAGGCTGAGGGCGGAGGCCCGGGTCTCCCACAGAGGTCTCAGCACCCAGGAGGGCGCCGCGGGGCAGCGCACAGGGCCGGACAAGGGAAATGAGCTGGTAATGGGCCCAAGCCTGGAAGACCGGCCTGGGAACCAGGACTGACATTCAGCCCTGGGTGCAGTGCCGCCCTCCGCCGCACGGGGGCAGCGCCACCTCCCGGAGCCACGACGCCAGTCCCCGCACCCCTCTTGGCGGCGTAAGCGGAGGCCTGCCCGCGGCGCCCTCGCTCATTGGCTGTGGCTCGGGCGCTGCCATGTTGGCGGAAGCGGTGCCTCCTGTGCTGTGGAAATTGGTCGTGGCTGCGGCCGCCGCGTCGGTGGGCGCAGTCCGCTGCTTCTTCACCTCGCGGGTGTCTCGGCGCTGAGAGGCAGCGGCCGGTGGGATGGAGCAAAGTAGGATGAACCTGCCCAAGGGGCCGGACACGCTCTGCTTCGACAAGGACGAGTTCATGAAGGTGCGCGCCGGGCTCCGCTCCCCGGAGCCGGGCCGTGGGTGGCTTGCCCTCCTTCGCCCTCCGAGGCCTCTCGTCGGGCATCCCCTGCCCTGCTGTCCTCGGCGGGGACCCCACTGCACTTCACAGGGAGTCTCTTGGCCTCAGGTTTAGCAGATGCAGCCTCGAGAAAGCACTTCGGTGAAATCGTGCTTATTGAGTTAAAGGGCCTGAAAGTTCTGGGCAAGGAGTTTTGAGTTCAGTATAAAAGCCCCAGTTGTTCCCCGACCTTGTTACCGTGCCGTGCAAATTGTCGATCCGCTTGCCAGGCAGAAGCTTGATGACTAGCGTCTTGCCCCTGATGCTCAGGAATTACGACCGAACAAACAGGCACTTAGTCTCAAGTTCTTGCCTAACGTTAATTTAAAGCTTCTGGAATGAGCTATTTAAAAGATTTTAATATTCTTACCGATTTTGCTGCAGTACAACGAAGCAAAACATTCTCGTTTTCTCAAGTTGCCCCACTAGATAAGGTGAACTGGAAGTTGGTGTGCAGAGTTTGGTGGTGAACAGGATGTAAACTTACAGGCTAGAAATATAAACTGAAAACATCTTGCTGATTATAAAGATTAATCAGGTACAGCCTTGGACAGGCCCAGGATTTGAATCAGAGCTAGGAGGAACTCTGCCTGGCTATTTGGTGCATCCCTCTGGGGTCAGCACTTAAACAAATGGATATACCTTATGTTCAATTCCTAAGGACCGCGATTCTTGACAGCACTTAGGAGCTGGTTTCAGTGTTAAAAAGTTAAAAGTCAGACACCCACAATTTTGAACCTGTGAGTTTAAATCTCTTGTTCTGTGTTTTTTGATGCGTTCCAGTCATAATGTTTCCTCTTTGTCTCTTTTTGATATTTGCATTGTGATCACATCTCCAAAAGTCTGGCTTTTAAAAAGTGTTTCTATCTGAGCGTTCTCCAGTGTGTCCACATCATTTTTTGGTCTGTGCAGCTGTCTAGGCCCAGGAACGGGGTGCTCTCGTCCATGTGCAGGAACGTCCCTGCCCAGCCCCTGTAATGAAAGGACTGGCTGAGATGGGATGTCCGAGAGGGGAGCTCACTGATCCAGAAGTCCCGGCCCCACCCCTGAAGCCAGGGAGAAGCTAAGGGTGCCTGGTGGGGAGCGGGGGGCTGGAAGAAGGAAGGGCGCCCGCAGGGATCAGGGCCCCTATTCTGACTTCAGGGGTCTTGGGGTACAGAAAACACGTAGCTTGTCCGTCCCCCGTCATCTTCAGGCTTCCTTCGGGCCCAGCACCGGAACCCTTCCTGACTCACTGTCTTTCTCACTCTAAGCTGACAGGATGCCTTTGCTAAAAGCAGGTTCAGGAAGAAGACTCAGAGTATAAGTAGGGAGAAGACAGACCGGGGAAGTGGCTGAAATGCCAGTGGTTTCATATTTCACGGCCCTGAAACCTCTGACGATGCCGTACAACTTGTGCTACTAAATGTGCCCACTTCCTGTGTGGATGAAAACTAAAAGAACAGCTCTTCTGTGTAAAATGTTGTTGACTTTCTAGGTGGGGCCTGGAATAAAGGTTCATTGCCTCTCTTGTTTCCTGGGAAGAGATGGTTTGTAAGTTACAGTTCTGGGGTAGAAAGGCTGGGTGGAGAGCTTGCTGCTGAGGTTGTACTTCCACATTTGTGTTTCATTCAGCGCATTTTGTATTTGTACAGGTTTTATGCCTGTGGGGAAGTTAGGGAATATCAGGTTTTGCATTAAGAACGTTGAGATGACTTGAAATCCAGTCATTTGATTGGAAACTGTGTCATTAGTCTGCCAAACATGATGGGGAGCTGGTAGGGCAATGGTAGCAATTGCTCATGCAACTGACAGGCATTCATTGATCACCCACTGTGTGCCAGCCAGCAACCTAGACATGATGGTACGAGGACACATAACAGTTTGGTTTTGGCTCTTAAGCACGATGAGGGGAGAACCGTGTGTGCCGGGAAATCGCACAAAGTGGTTGGAGTGTGGAGCATGGCCAGGAATGAGACTAGCAAGGTAGAGGGGGCGGGGTTGCTGGTGTGTGAGCCCTGTTACAGCCGGGAGGGGCTTGTGCCTGATGCAGTTTTCACTGTGGAGTTAGAGTCAAGTTTAAAGCAGAAAATGACCTGTCCTACCCGTTGCAGTGGAGCCGACTGGTGGCAGGAGGCTACTTAAACGTTATCTCTGTGGCCCCATGAGAGCTACTGAGAAATGCAGGAGAGGGGCGGGGTTGCGAAGGCTGCTGGCTGTCCCCAGGCAGCAGTGGCCAAGGGAAGAATTGCCTGGGGCCAGAGTGGTGGTGACATCACATTAGCTTTGTCAGCTTTAAAAAAGCACAAAACTCTGTAGAGGGTTGACAGCGAACTAATAGGTGAACTTGGACCTAAGGTATTGGCAGTGGGAGGGATGAGCTGTTGACGCCGAAGTGGGCCCCTGCTATCTAAGCGTGGGACCCCCTCTCCCGTTTTCCAGGAGGAGCAGAGGCCGCCAGATGGGGACTCCTTCACCATGTGGTGCTAGTGCCACTCCTGTGCCCCTGCCCATTCGCTGTCTCCTTCTCAGCTAGTGGGCGGGGGCTTCCTGCCTCCTCAGGGTAACTCTCCCAGCCGGCGTGGAGCCCCTCCTTCCTGCCTTCCCCGGAGCCCGCTGCTACCCTTCTCTGCGCTGCTTCCCGCAGGCCTTCCGACAGGCTCCCGTTTGAGTCTCTCCCACGTGATCCTCCTGCCTCGTTACTACCGTGTTACTCTCTTCAGTGCCGCCTCTGCCGCCGCCGCCGCTCAGCGTTCTCCTTCCCTCGCACCTGTCACTTTTAAACCCCTCCCAGTCTGTCTTCTGGCCCCATCATTCCACTCAGCAGGTCTCGCCAAAGGTGACAGACCCTTCGCTCTCTCCTTGCTGACCTCTCAGCAGACCAAACGCTCTCTTCAGTGCTCTCCGACTTTCTTCTTACCTGTGTGGTCTCTCTGTCTCCTGCGCATAGTCACTCTCCTCCTTGAAGCCATCGATCGGCTGGTTACGGGCTCAGTCACATGTCCTCTCCTGTCCCTAGGTGATTCTTGCAGCTTCAGGGACCACCTGTAGGCAGGTGTCGCAGATCCGTATCTCTGGCCCAAAAGTCTCCTGAGCTCCAGTCCCTCATCCCGAACTTCTCCTTGACATCTCTTCCTGTTTATCTCTGTCACTCCTGTTCAGGCTCATGTTCCGAACGGAACGGTGAGCACAGCCCCCGCCAAACTCGCTCTGTGGTTTTGCCCATTTCTGTGACTGCTCTGCCGTCCACCCAGCTGTGAGTCAGAAAACCAGGAGTCAAGTCCTCTCTTCGTCACCTTTCCCGAATCCAACCCAGTACCAAGTCCTGCAGATTTCGCTTCCTAAACATCGCAGGTCCATCTGTTTGTCCCCATCTCCTCTTTCCTGCCATTCTTCTGTCACGGCCTCCTCGCACCTGTTTGCCCCTTTCTAGTCCGCGGTGTACGCTGCAGCACTGCGCTCCTTTCGGGATACACGCCCGACGTACGCAACAGCTGGCTGCTCAGTGCGCCTGGTCACGAGAAGACTTTCCAAAACGTTTGAAAGTGTTTCCAAGCAGTGTACTCCATACTTGGGTAGTTTTTATTGGTGGACAGCCTGTTTCTGTGCTGAGCCCAAACCTGCCTCCACTGAACTTCTGTTCATCAGTTCCTGTCCCAAACCTCCGGGTGCGGGGGTTCCTGTCCCGAACAGGGTGCGGCTTGGTTGGCACCCTGGGTGGGCACACAGGGCCTGCAGTGAAAAGAGCAATCGGAAACCCTCCTTATGGTGGGGATAAGCATCTACAATCTGTTAAAGGAGTAGTAGAAGATGAACAAGTCACTGAGGCTCCTCCCCCGTCCGATTGGCTGAATCTCCAACACTGGAACAGGAAGTGTGTCCCGCGTTGTCCCTGCGCCCGGGGGACGTGCACTGTAATGGACAAATGAGGGAGGGAGAAGGACCAGCGTTCAGATCTGTGCTGCGCTGGGCGAACAGCAGCGCCCCGGAGGCGTGGGCCCCAGCTTCAGCTCTGCCGCTCGCCGGCGTGCGGCTTGGGGCCGACCGCTGGCCTCTGCGGCCTCAGCTTCCTCCTCGGTCTGTCAGGGCGGCACGTGCCGAGATAACGCTTGTAGTCTCGTGCAGCTCTGGACATTTTATGTTTTTGTTAGAAAAGACTGGTCCGTTTTTCGGGCTCGCGATACGGCAGCAGGCCCCGGGGTGCCGTGACTCCCCGCAGTCATACAGCTGGTGGGACGAATCGTGGTCACTGCCTCCTGACCCCCAGGCTCCTGTCCTGGGCAAGCCAGGCAACACTGTGCTTTCCGGAGGCCGCAGGTGGGAACTTCGGGAAATGGGATAGTTAGAAAAGTATCGGAAATGGCCCCCAAGACCGCCCATTTTAATATCGGATTTGATTTTTATTGTTAAGAGGCCTTTGCATATTTTGGATCCAAGTCCTTTACCATGTACGTGTTTTACAGATATTTTCTCTGCTCTGTGACTTGTCTTTTCATTCTCTGAAGAGTGTGTTTTGCAGAGAAGTTTTTAATTTTAGCAAAGCCCAAGTCATCAGTTCTTTTCTTTCACAGGTTGTACTTTTGGTGTTGTGTCTAAGTGGTCATCGCTAAATCCAAGAGTGTCTAGATTTCCTCCTGTATCTTCTAGAAGTCTGACATTTTACACTTAAGTCTGTTTTGAGTTGCTCTTTTAGACCTTTCTGTGTCTTTGCTCATTTTTTGCCTGTGGATGGCCCATTGTTCCCGCACTGTTTGTGGGAGACTGTTCGTTGTTTCCTGCTGACTTGGCTTTGCATGTTTGTGGGGATCTCTCCCATAGTGGTGATTTGTCCCTTCTTTTACTGGCACCGTCTGTCCTTAATCACTGTCACTGTAGCTTTAATGTGGCTCCTGTGGCTTCCATTTGCAGAGTGTTACTTTAGAATCTTTAATGTAACCGAACCATTTTATTTGTTGATACTTAAAGTTTTTTATTGGGATATAATTCACATAACATAAAATTCCCTATTTTAAAGTGTGCACTTCATTGGGTTTTTGAATATTTACTGTGTTGTGCATCCGTCACCACTTCCGGAACATTTCATCACCCCAGAAAGAAAATTGTACCTACTAGTTCCAGTTCTTCCCTCTCCCCATCCTCTGGCAGCCAGTGATGCACTTTCCGTCCTCCTGGGTTTGCCTGTTCTGGAACGTCTCGTATAAATGGAATCACAGTGTGGGGCCTCTTGTGTCTGGCTTTCTTCACTTGGTGTAATGATTTCACGGTTCATCCAAGTTGTAGTATGTAACAGTGCTTTACTCCTTCTGATGACTGAATAATACTCCATTGCGTAGGCATACCCCGTTCTATTTACTCATTCATCAACGGATGTGCATTTCAGTTGTTTTTACTTTTTGGCTGTTATGAATAACGGTTGTCGTGAACATTCATATACACATGTTTGTATGAACATCTGTTTTTAGTTCTATCAGGTGTGGAATTGCAGGGTGATTTCATGCTTGATTTTTAAGGAACTGCCAAACTGTTTCCCACAGCAGCTTTACCATCCAGATGACGGTTCCAATTTCTCCAAATCTTTACCAACACCTATTTTTCATCCTTTTTTCTTACTTTATTGTGGTCACGTTAGTGGGTGCGAAGTGGTATTTTACTGTGGTTTGATTTGCATTTCCCTGATGGTTAATGCTTTTCAGCATCTCTTCATGGGCTTACCAGCCATTGGTACATTCTCCTTGGAGAAGTGTCTGTTCATATCCTTTGCTCATATTTTAATTGGGTTCTTTGTTTGTTTATGGTTCAGTTGTAAGAATTCTTTGTATACTCTGAATACTAGGTCCTTGTCAGATACATGATTTGCGAATATTTTCTCTCATTGTATGGTTGTTTTCACTTTCTTAAAGTATTCTTGATGCACAAAAGTTTTTATTTTTATCATATTCCACTTATGTATTGTTTTTCATGCTTTTTGCTGTCCTTTCTAAGAAATCATTGCCTAGTCCAAGGTCACACAGAATTCCCCCCGTTTTCGTCAGCACTTACATTTAAGTCATTGACGCAGTTTGAGTCACATGTTTGTATAGAGTGCAAGGTTGGTGTCCAGATTCGTTCCTTTGTAGGTACATACTCGCTTGTCCCAGCAGCACCATTTGTTGAAAAGAGAGAATCTTACCATTTGTGACAACGTGGCTGGCCCTTGAGGGCGTTATACTAAGTGTAGTGAGTCAGACAGAGGAAGACAGACACCTTATAATCCCTGTTATATGTGGAATCTGAAAAACAAAACCAAAAAGCCAGGTGCATAGGTACAGAGAGCAGTTGGTGGCTGGTGGGCGTGGGGTGAAATGGGCAAAGGGGTCCAATCTTAATAAGACAAGTAAGTCCACGGGATGTAATTACAGCCTGGCGATAGTTAATAACACTGTATTAACTCTCAGTACTGCATATAATAATACTGGATTACGTATTTGAAGGTTGCTAAGGGAGTAAAGTTAAGATCTCATCGCAAGAAAAAATTTCTGCGTGGTGGTGGATGTTAATGACTTACTGTGGTGATTGTTTCACAGTATATGCAAATGTTGAGTCATGTTGTACGAACTAATACAGTGCTGTATGCCAGTTATATCTCAATTTTGAAAAGTAATTTATATTTTAAAGAGAGAGACCAAAAAAAAAATCTGGCAGGATGTGAATCACAATGTTAAATAGTGGAGAGAAAAAAATAGTGCTTAACTGCAGAGGATCAGAGTGTGGGTGATTTTTTAATCTCTGTTACACAGGTACTTGTTTGAAAGTTTTATGTTGGACATTTGTTACTTTTAAAATTAAGGGGGAAAGCTGTTTCTATTTGGAGAAGAGCCTGTTGTAAACTGTCTCATTTAAAAAGGAAAGCATCGCAGGGGAGCGCACCTCTGTAAGGCCGCTCTGTGAGGTCCGTGCCGCGCGCCAGCCGTGTACGGTGAACTTGCCGCCGCGCTGTGCGACCCATGAAGGTAGCAGGCGGCTTCCCTCTCTGACACTGTCTCGCCTTTGATTTTTGTGCAGAGAGTGTATCATTGCCATCATTTTTGCTTTCCTGGTGTTATTTTCAGGAAGACTTCGACGTCGATCATTTTGTTTCTGACTGTCGGAAGCGCGTGCAGCTGGAGGAGCTGAGAGACGACCTGGAGCTCTACTACAAGCTTCTGAAGACGGCCATGGTGGAACTCATCAACAAGGATTACGCAGATTTTGTCAACCTCTCCACAAACTTGGTAACCCTTAAATCCCCCCTTCCTGCCAGTTGGCTCGTGTGCACCGCACTTGCTTTCTCATCTCAGATTGGTCCTTAAAAGTGCGGAGCATTTTAAGAACCTTTTAGTTGGTTTTTTTCCCTCGGAAACTTAAAGAGATTACCAATTTCCTTAATTAATAAAAGAACTAAACTTACTTGGTATACATTTTTTTTTCTCATTTCAGACTTGATTTTCAGACAAGTTCTAGCTTGATTATTTTTTAATTAATAAGGATAACTATATATAGTTATATGCTTATATTTTATACACACACACACACACACAAAGAATAATACTAAAGTAGTTGTTTTTGTTAGTTGCCAAGTAATTACCATGAAATCTCACTGGTTTAGACTAACTCGCAAGAATAAGCATCAACCACTCTTAAGGAAACGTTCAGTTGACTTTCAGGCACATGTACTAGCTAGAGCTCGGTGAGGGGAACGTTGGCCCCAGGTGCTCTGTGGGAGGCTTGGTTTTATAAAACTGTAAGATTGGTTTGTAGTGAACATCTCAGTTTGTAAAAGTCATTTAGAAACGCTTGAGTTTTAATACTTGCAAAAAAAAGTCGTCTTGTTCATCATATTTTATTGTGTTTTTACATGTTTGTTTAAAGAAGTACAGAAAGTCGTTATCTCCATGGGAATTTGAAGAAGCATTAAAATTAATGAGCCATATTTGCTTTGGGAGATCAACCACTAAGATAAATGTTTCTGTGAATTAGAAACACAAAATATTTCATATACCATTTATTGAATTTGGATTTTTCTCAAAGGTTATAATCATGTTTGGAAGAAATAGAGCCTGTCCATCAGACTTTTACATCAGCTGGTATTCACATCCCATTAAAATCTTTCCAGGTTATTTAAAATTTCATCCAAAGGCAAATTGTGCATAAGGAAGCTTTCATTTATTGTGACTTCCTGGATTTTATTGTTTCATGTATATCAAGTTTATTCCATATTGTAGGAGCAACATTTATGGCAAGGTAACATTTGTTATTTAGCTGATTACTTAGCAATATGTGGTTGTACAGAAGAATAACCTACGTCTAGTACTGTTTTGATCGTTGAACAGATACGTCACTATTTCTCCCAGTTCTGACGTGTTTGTGCCAACATGGTTTTGCCTTTAGGTTGGCATGGACAAAGCCCTCAACCAGCTCTCTGTGCCTTTGGGACAACTACGAGAAGAAGTTCTAGTAAGTCTCCCGTAGAGCGTGTTGCACTTGTTTGCCTTCTCCGGGAACTCCTTGTACCTGGTAGGCGGCTGTCCGGGGAGCCGTGGCGGGCGCTCACCTTCCCAAGAGATGTAAATGATTCTCTGTTTTTTCTTGTGATATCGCAGCCTAAAAAGCATGTTTAACTTGGAGATGGCAGATTCTCAGAGTAGGCGGCTCTGCAGCGTTGGGAGGGCAGGCAGGCTTTCGGAATTCACCCTGCGAACGCCACCTCACTCATGTGCCTAGTCACCAGCTGCCGGATGGCTTATGTTTTCAAAACGGGTGATGATTGTATAAGTCTTCTCCCAGTGTGTTTTTCCACGTGGAAGTGCTTCCAGACCAGTGCACAGCAGCTGTTTCCCTTTTAATTTAACTGAAGGATAAGAGTGTAATGTGATACTTGGTAAACATTACATTTTATCGTTTCTCTGAGAAAACCTCTGCTGGGGGACTAGGACCCCCCACCTCTGAGCTGTTGGGCGTAGGGGCTCCATCAGGAGGAAGGGGGAGGGGGAGTTGGGGCATCGCTTCCAGCAGAAAGCTGTGCTGCCCTGTCCTCTCCCACCTCTCCCCCACCCCAGCCCAGCCTGAGTCAGGCTCCCGGCCTTCCGGCTCCCTTAGCTCTGCGCACTCTCTCACGTCGGGCGCACCCCGTCATTGCCTGTGTGTGACGTCACCGCTAGACCAGGCCAGCTTGAGGGACCCTGTTGCACCCAGCCCCTCGGGCAGAGCTGAGGAAATGCCGAATGACAGCTGTCCGTGCTGAGAAGCCCACAGGAGGGGTGGGCAGGAAAATTCAAACAGGCGATGTGTCTGGAGCTCTGCCTGGAAGCAGCAACTATTTTTGAACGTTTAGGTCTTGTTTTAATTTTACAAAAGCTCATTACACTTTTCCTTGAAATGGAAGCAGTGTTGCTGGATTCCACATCCGCCCCCGTGTGGCTCTCCTGCCTTCTTCCTGTGCCCCTCTTCCCCTCCAGCCTCCTTGCTGGGTGGTTCCCGAGCCTCAGCCTCGTCTCCCAACGCTCTCCCTGGCGGCAGGCCCGCTCCGCTGCCGGCTGCCCGGCCCGGGGGCTGCTCTCACTCCCGCAGGCAGGTGCCTCCTGCCTGGGCCGCCCCCCAGCGCCGCAGCCCCGCCGCCCCGCCCTTCCCCTCCGCTCTCTCCCAGCAGCCACAGTCCTCTCCCCCCCCCCCCCCCCTGCTTTTCTGCCCCACCCCTGACACCGCTGTGAGATTCCGAGGTCACCGAGGGAGGCATTTCTGTCTTGTTCATCATCCTGTCGTCCGGAGAGGGAGGCACAGCGATGACATTAGCAGGCACTGTGTAGTGTTTATGGAATGAATGAATCCACCTTTCCGAAGAATTTTTGTGATTTGTCCAGTTTATTCTAATTGTTTTTCTTCCGTTTATCTGGCACCTAATGCCTAAGTATCTCATACTCGGCTTAATTCATTAGCTTCTGGACATGTTTCTCCACATATGGCCTCCCCCTTTTCCCGGCCGATCTGTTCCTTCTTGCTTCCCAGGATTCCCAAGTCAACATTATATTATGATAAATTAGCACTTGAAAATTCTTTAGTTCTCCAAAAATGTATAGAATCTAGTCTAAGACCTTATCTCAGTGGAGTCCTCCTAAATCAACCCCTCCCTTGTTTCCTCTACTTCTCCCTGAGACAGAGCCTTCAGCGCACCCAGCTGTACGCCTCACTTCCCCGAGTGTGTCCCACTCAGCCGTAGCCTCTGCCTCTGTGTCCCAGGGGTCTCCTCTCCGCCCCTGTCCGCCTCCACAGCTGTCAGGCTTGCACTCCAGTCCCATCCCCTCAGCCAGACTCTCCTGTGCTCTGATTCCGACTGTCCTTGGTCTTCCCTGACCGCCCGTGACAGTCCTTGTATATGTAGTGTTCCTTTGGCTATTAATTAATCCTGTGTGACCTTGGCTTTATATAGCATTTTGCCCCAAAATCCACAGCAGTTGTATCTGAAACTTTGTATTTTTGTCAATATCTGTGTAGTACTGGCCTGTAGATACTGGAATTGAATTAAATATGTAAATTCAGTTCTGGAGAACTGAATTGAGCGTGTGAATTTCATAATGTTATCAAACAATTTCTACAGTACATTTTCTTTATTTTTTTGAAGAGTCTCAGGTCCTCCATCAGTGAAGGAATCCGGGCAGTAGATGAACGAATGTCTAAGCAAGAGGACATTAGGGAGAAAAAGGTATAGCAAAGTGTCATACTATTAAACGCGCACTGGTGATGGCCCCTTGGGGGTAAGGCCCTCCCGTGCCTGTGACCTGGTTTGCCCCTCCGGGTGCCTTTGCGGCGGGAGAAGGGAGGCCTCCTCGTCTTGAGGGATTAGCAGCCGAGCGAGGCTGGTGGGGGGCCGGGCCCGGGGACCCAGGTCGCCTCACTCCGGGGGTGGTTAAACAGAGGCATGGTAAAGAAATGAAATCTTTTTTGAAGACAAAAATTCTATAGTCTTTTTATGCTTTAATTTATTTGTGGTACATTAACATTTTCAAAGAAAACTAGATTTCATAGGCTGCATGCCTGTGCATATTTTCCATTACTATGAAATTGGGTTTTTTCCCCAAAATTCTTTTACAATTATATAGTATAGTATTGTATTATAATGTCGTGGTATCTATTTAAAATGATAAGACAGAATTTTAGAGGTACCTAAGGGGACATAAAATATCTCATTTTTTCCCAAATAAGAAATAGTAATAACTGACATCAGTGAAGCGGTTTACAGTTTAATAGGCGTATACATTTCCAGCACTCCTACAAAGAAGGTGTTTATATTTTAGGGATTAGGGAGTAAGTGGGCTTTCTAAAGCAAATCCTTTCAGTATTGTACTGCAGGTTTATTGTTTCAGAAAAGCTAGTGTGTTGTGGTCTCATTCCGCTATGTTTATTACTTCTTTTGTTTTCCCCTTTTAAATAAATGTCTTCGTGCACTGACTTGACTTTTCAGTGGACCTATGTTTTAATTTTAGTTTCTGATTTATTTATAGTCATAATGATACAGTGTCAGAGTTGGAATTAGGATTCAAGATTTCCCACTCTAGCCTGGTGCTCTTGGTATTTTCTAAATTTATTAACACGTTTTGTTTTGTTTTAAATCAGGGAGAGAAGCCTATTATAGAGACCTTCTGTTTAATTCTTTAGATATCTTCTGAGCTTTTGTCTAAAGATTTCAAGAATGGCGTGCATTTCTGGAAAAGATTCTCAGCTTCCTGAGAGCAGTGAATTTTTCTTGTTTTGTTCACTGAGGTCCCCACTGTCTAGAAGAATGTCTGTTCATAATAGGTGGTCAGTAACTATTTGTTAAATGAATGACATTATATCTTTTTGTCCCTTTAAGGATGAGAGTTTTTATAATGTTCCTCAACCTCTTTGATAATATTTGTAGTATAATAATGTATTTAATGAATTGACACATTAAAACATGAACAAAGGGGTTATAAGAAACTAAGTATAGTACCAATAGAGAAGTTCACTTAAGATAGGAAAAAGAAGGAAGGAAGAAGTCCAGTTTCTTTTTAACTATAAACTTGCAATAGAATATTGAAATACACTTGTTGTAGAAAGCCAAAATTAGGATTTGCATTCTTGGGAATTCAATGTTATATAGATATTCAAAATATAGGATGCTCCAAATATTCTAAGTTGACTTTTGGCTTTGTATTTTCCTGATTTAGCTTGGGGAAAACAGATAATTAAGGTTAAACGTCATAATTTTTTTTTTTTGCATAATTTTAATTTTTATAGATGTGTGTGTTGAGACTTATACAAGTTATTCGATCAGTTGAGAAAATTGAAAAGATCTTAAATTCTCAAAGTTCTAAAGAAACATCTGCACTGGAAGAACACAGGTAAGTATTTTTTTATTAAATAGCACATAAATTAAGACTTCACACTTAGGCTGAATTTTTTTTTTTTTTTTTTTTAGTTAGAACTCATTTCTGAAAAAGATGAAAATCCAAGTCTTTGGCTTAAGTGTCTTTGAATGTTGCTCAAGAAAAGTAGAGTGCATGAAATGGTAAAGCTTATAATACATTGTCCTGAACTGTTGTGGTTTTAGGCCACAGTCCTAACATGCCACCTCTAGGCAGTCAGAGCAGCGGGCTGTCAGCGGAAGGTTTTATCTTTGGATTATCTCACCGAATGTCTTGCAGGATCCTCATTGATCTTCAAGGTGTGGAAGAGCATTTGTTTCGCTTTGAATTTTCTTTTAGCCATGCCCAGAGTGTTAACATTGGTGTCCCTTGACTAGCATTATGTCATTAAGAAACAATATAGGACACATTTAGTTGAAATTTATAATCAGGAAAGAGAAAGTTTATGAAATAAGAAAAAGATGGCTTTTTCCTTGGTCATAGTGTGCTTACTGTCTTACCACCTTCCTGGCCTAGTTTCGAGTCAGCCTCGGGGGTGAGGGACTCGGGTGAGGCGAGGAGATCCTGGCGGCAGCGCTGGGACGTGCCGTGGCCCGGTGGGCGGAGCGCGGGCTCCTGCTGTCCCTGCCAGCTGGGCAGCCTGGGCCGGGGTCCGTCCCCCGCCTCATCTGTAACAAAGGCTCACAATCATAACGCCACTTGCAGGGATGCCCGACAGTCATTGAGAGTCTGTCCGCCAGAACCTGGCAAATACCGAATAGTAGCTTTAGTACGTTTCTTAGCTGGGTCTAACGTGAGCTTTTCTGAAAGTTGCATTGATAACACCAACATTTTTTTTATGAGTATTACTGGGTTATCTGCTGCAAAACCAACCAAAGCCAGGTTGGATACTGTAGTTCAAAGTCTTGGTCATCCTTTAAAGGCATGGTAGATTTCTTCTCAAAATTTGAGACTTGGAAGGCCCTTAGAGACAGCATGCTCCACATCCCTCGTCATGAAGGTTAAGAAGTAAGGCATCCAAAAAAGGAAGTGACGTTCACGCCTGGGGCTCTGCTTCCTTTGGTTAGTGAGGTGTTTGAAGGAATGGTCAGTACCTGCCGTGCCTGTGCCTCCAGTCCCGCACTAGTGCCCCCCGCCCGTCCAGTCCCCTGGTCTGCACTTGCTGGTCGCCGCCGGCATCCGTTCCGGCCGGCGCAGGGCATCTGCAGGTCTTGCTGCCCGGCTTCCCTGTCGCACTGACATCTCCTTCCTGCCGTGTCCTCACTCGGCGCCGTGGCACCTGCCTCCCAGCCTTCAGCCCACCTTTGCCCTTCCTATTCTGTTCCTCTGATAGAAACGCTTCAGTGATTGCCATTTCTCTCGGGCTATTCCTTCACTGTGTTCCGTCTTTAACACAATAGCCATTGTGCTGTTTGCTGGCTCAGACTAGCCTTTGAGGACCTTTTCTCTCGTTCAGACCCGCAGCTCCACGCTGTAGAGAAGGGAAAGCCAGGGCAGTGCGGGCGAATAGTGAATACATCATGCCTATTAGGCCAAGAATGTTCTGATAGCTCATCACCAGTAAATGCACATCGGGCTGTTCGGGAAGGAGTCAGGCATCCACCTGTTCTGTTGGTCCTGCTGAGCAGTTGCTGTACCTCTGAACCTGTCTGGGTGCTGCTGGCCTCAGTGTGGCCCTTCGTGTTCGCCTGTGGTGCGCACTTCTTCCCGCACGAACTGACTGCTCGTTGTCAGATACAGGATGCCTCAGAGGAGCCCAGCAGGTGCTTCAGTGCCTTTATGCTTTTCTTCTTTTGCTATTTAACTTCTTTTTGAGTGGTAGTGAGGCTTTACAGTATGTTTTAGCAAAAAGAAGGGCACATATTAAACTTTGTGGAAGATGCACAGCAAACATGCTCTTGCTAGGACATGGCATATAAACTGCTCTCTAAGTGGGCAAGAGAGCCATGTGGTAAATGGAAATTTAAAGGGAGCTGTTTTAAGATTGTTTTATTTATTGCTGCTAGACGGCTGGTTCTATTCTCTGCAGTAGACCGCAGTATTTGGTATATGAGAGGTATTAGGTATTTGAGAAAAAGTGTGGCTAATAGCATAGGGCAAGCGGAGAGAAGGGAGGTTGTCGGTAGGAGGGCGAGGACTGGGAGAGCCTGGAGAAGGTGGTGGGAGCGGGTCAGGGTGCCCGCACTGGCCTCGTCCAGCTCCTGCTCCCTGTCGGGCCCCGGGGCCTGCAGCCAGGCAGCCTCAGCGGCCGAGGTGGCTTCCCCACTGCGCCTGCAGCACGCTGTGCGCGCGACCCGTAGTGAAAATCGGCGGCACGAGGGAAAGCTTCCGCTTTCACCATGTAACAGGCAGGGCGAGGAAAACCCTCTCTGCAGAAAGTTGTAACAGCGGGTGCTCAAGCCTCACCATTGCTCATCATGTGATGTATTTTCTTGGAAATGAACAAACTTCAGGAGTTAAAACTTGTGTCATTGTCTCTGCCAGCCCACTTCTGACAGGACAGATGTTGGAGAGAATTGCTACAGAGTTCAACCAGTTGCAGTTTGACGCCGTCCAGAGCAGAGGCATGCCTCTTCTGGACCAAGTAAGGCCAGTGAGTGTTGTTCTAGATCTTCACCATCGGGTATTTAGGCATTTGCTAAGTAATTTTGGCTTAACCTAGTAATGCCCCTGGTAACTGCTGATCTACAGGATTTTGAAGCTAGCTTTGAATGTTTCCACTTAGTTTTTGTTTTTTGGAGCCCTGCTTCCTACATGTCATGCAGTATAGATTTTGTGTAAAGATACGGGCATGTTCTCTGAATTAAAAGAGTAAAGTTAACTCCGAATTTCACATAACCTGACACATCATAAGATGTAATCAGAGTTAATTTATCCAAAGCCCTTGACTGGGCTTTAAAGTCATACGTTTGTCAGATTTACTCTGTAGCTTAAGAGGAAAATAACTGTTTTCCCTAGTTCTGTAATTCTGTCTAGAGTCTCCTTCGATGATGCAAAGGTTTACTTGTAAAGAGGTTGTGGGGAGGAGGAGAAACTCATCGTTACTCTTCAGGAAATGTTGACATTTTAATTTTACATTATCTTCTATTAGAACAAAAGATTTGTTACATATATATCTGAATTCTTAGGAATTGGCCTGATTGGAGCTTTTATTCTCTCTTCTCATGCAGCGGATAGCCGGCATTACAGCCATGTTACAGCAGTCGCTGGAAGGGCTCCTGTTGGAGGGCCTGCAGACTTCTGACGTCGATATCATACGGCACTGCCTGCGGACGTACGCCACGATCGACAAGACCCGGGACGCGGAGGCCTTAGTGGGTCAAGTACTGGTGAAACCATACATGGACCAGGTTCGTGCATGTGAGACTCATTCCTCAGGCATCCATAGAGCGCCTGCTCTGTCTTCAGAGGTGCACTGGGTGTGGGGGGCGGGTCAGAGCCCTTTCTGTGAAGAGGCTCTTGTTCACCATGGCATCAGCTGTGAGGAAGCGGGGGACCCCGCTGGTGGCAGCCTGCGTGCCGGCAGCCGGGCCTGCTCTCTCGCACTTTCTAAGGGCGCCACAGCCCAGGCACCGTCTTCATTTCGAGGGGGTGAGGGTCTGGCCCAGGAAGAAGGTAGGGTTTTTAGTTGTTAAAGAGCATTTTCAACTACTAGTCCTGTGGGTAGAGTAGAACGTGCAGCAGCCAGCAACGCTGCAGTGCATGTGCCTGGTGGAGGAGCGCGCAGAGAAGTCTGTGAGCGTGGAAACTGAGTTTTGGCCCTAGTTTTCAAAAATATGATGAGTTGTTCAGGCCAGGAAAGTGGAAGGGAGGGAAAATTCAGAGATGAAGGACTTTTAGGGGCACATTGCAGGGCAAGACCTTTAATCCAGAACATGGCCGTGCAGTATCCCTCACCTATTAGGATACAGTTCAAATGTAGGAAGTAGGTATAGTCTGCCTTTGAGCAGCCGGAACACAGATTGTACTGTAAGAAGATGCAGGTACTCAGCAGTTTTCTGACATACAAAAATGGCGGCTTCATCTAGTGCAAACTGGTAGAAGTCGCAAAACCCGTGCTCAGTGTGTGCAGTGTCTGTCTCCACAGGGTCAGAACTGCATACCCTCCTCCTAGGAACTAGTTTTGAGTGCAGCTGTTATTTACCTACTGGTTAGAAAACACGTCCCTTGGGGAGAGGGGTGGATCTTTATTCTTTGACGTATAGAGTTCATACTTCTCCTTTAGATGCTTCTCTTTTTAATGTTACTCCTTTTAATAGGTGATTACAGAGCAGGTTGTTGAGTCTCATCCCAATGGCCTTCAGGTCATGTATAATAAACTCCTGGAGTTCGTCCCTCACCACTGCCGTCTTCTGCGAGAAGTCACCGGCGGAGCCATCTCAAGGTACGCGGCCGCTGCGCGGAGCACACCCCGGTTTCCCGGCGGCGCCTGCCGGCTGTGGTGCGCGGCTGCTGTGCGCTGGCTCGGACCGGCCAGGTCCGGGGCACCGCAGCAAAGCGAGTATCGCAGTAAAGCGAGTCCGGTCAAATTTTTGTTTCCTGATGCCTATAAAAGTTGTGTGTTACACTATCCTGTAGTTTGTTAAGTGTGCAATGGCCTTATTTCTAAAATAAATAACGTATCTACCTTACTTGAAAAATATTTTATTGCTAAAAATTGCTAACCACCCTCTGAGCCTTCAGTGAGTCTTCATTTTTTTGCTGGTGAATGGTCTTGCCTTCAATGTGTAAAAAACACGAAGTGCAGTGAAGTGAATGAAACAAGGTACACCTTGTTTTTAGTTCACCGTTACCACAATGCTGTGAGGCGGGTGTCATGGCCTCGTTTTATAGATAAGAAACCATGGGAGGTGAAGCTAAGATCGACAGTTACAACACCTCTCTGGATCTGAAGCCCAAACCCTTTCCTCCTCTACCCTTTTTCCTAAATTAGTTTGAAATCATTATTGGTTTCCTTCTATTAATCTAATGTCACAATCTGTCTAGAAATACTAATACAGTTAAACTCAACAACTTTTATACTGATTGCGATTGAAATCATTTTCAGCTTTCCATCCTCCTCTTATTTAACTTCCATGACGTTCCAGTTCGGTTTCATAAGTAGCTCTTTACCTTTCATCACTGCTGCTCGCCCCGGCTGGGCCTCTGCCCTCTTGTCTCCAGAATAACAGGGTCTCCCCATTGGTCTCCGGCCTCCCCCGTCTTCCACGCAGTCCAGCCTTCGTCTCTCACATTTACCCGGGTGTCTGATTCATGTACTCCGCCATCTTTGTCAGTCGTTAGTGGCTTCTCGTTGCTTCTTGGTGCAGCATCTGGGGTCCTGCAGGTTCTGGCCCCGTGCGTCTCCCCTGCAGAGCTCCCTGCGGGACCCTCCGGGTACCACCTGGTCTCTGGTCACACGGTGGCATTGCCCTTTCCTGACACTCCAGTGTTCCATTGATGTCACTTGCACTTCTCTTGAGGACTGATCTCCATCTTAAATGTGTGCTCATCTTCTGCCCTGTACAACATTTGCAAAACACCCAGTTGATTTATTTTCAGCATTAGAAAGGCAAAGGAGTCTTTATCTTCGTGGAGTAAGCAGTGTCTTTGGTCTTGAATTTTTTGTTCTTTGAAAAGAAAAAAAGCTGGGGTAATAAATAATACCACCTGACCTTTGACGTTCTCTCTGTTTCCACTGCATGATTTCTGATGAAGCCTAATTTTGCCACTTTTATGTAGTAATCATTTGGATTTGGGGGTCGGAATTTAGCAGAAGTTTTGATGTAAGTGAAAGAAGCCAGACGTGAGAGACAACCAGCCAGTAGATTTGACGAGACTGGTCTTGGTCCTGAAAGTCCCTGTCCACAGTTGTCGGCGTGGCAGAATTCTCGCGGCGGCCTCGGCACCGTGAGGGCCCGCGCGGTACTTCGCTGGGCCGTCGGTCTTCGCCTTCGGCCCCTCACCGCGCTGCCCTTGCCCTCCCACTGCGCAGCGCCTGCCTTTGCGTCTCGACCGCTTCATGTTTGCCTTCTTCCTGCATCGTCCTCGGTGCCCTTTGTAACTGGAACGCCAGCGACATTCCGGCTTTGTCTTCCAAAGAATATGGATTGGCTTTTCTAATTAGCCCTCTGTTTCCATTGGTGATCTTGCAGGTTCCAATTTCAATTTGGGGCTTTAATTAGGTATTGACTTTGGGTATGAGGAGATCTTATCATTTAATATTGCTTATATTATCTGCATCTGTAGTTTTAAAATCCTCAATTTTACTATTCTCTTGACCAGATACCTTAATGGGTGTGGTTCTACATAATTAAAAATATAGAATAGGATATGTGCAGTCTGGTAGTTGGAAGCAGCATCTTCTTTACTCTCCTTGACTTTCTTCCAACCCTGCCAGGAATTTCTTACCAATACTTAACTATAGTGAGATTATTTGATAGCTTTCTGGACAGTAAAGCATACCTTCCTTGATAGTTTGTGTTTTTTGAAAATTATGAAAACTTTTTTCTGTTTGTTTTTAATACATGTCAGAATGTTAAGCCCCAGTTTGATATTGATAATTTGACAACTTAGCTACAAAACTGCCAGTTTCGCTAAAGTAAGATCACATATTAAATTGCTGACCATTTTAAAAGAACGTTATCTTAAAATAGAGCATATTACTCAACATACAACAATATAAGTGGGTAGATCAGTGAGATGATGTTTGCCTCGGAGATATTTATGGGTCTTTAAGTTCAAGAGAAACGTAAGGAATCTGCCTTATTTATTTAGTTACTTAAATATTTAATCATCACTACCACAGCACTTACTGTATGCTAGACACCATCCTAAATGCCTTACAAACTAACCCATATAATGATCCTGTAAGGTAGGTATTATTGCCATCTGCCTTTTCAAGATGAAGAAACCAAAACTCGGGGCAGTTAAATGACCCAGGCTTTGGACTCAGGTGCTCCAGCTCCTGACGGACCTGCTTTTATCTTGGTGTGGCCTCCCCTCGAACCTGTGAGTTAGAACCCACGGTCCAGCCTTTTGCTAAAAGATGCAGAATAAAGTGTGCACGCACAGAAACACATTAATGTTTTCAGCTTTTTGTATCAAAATTGTATATGAAATAGTCATAGAATTTTACAGCTGGAGGTAAGCTTAGAGATAGTTTAATAATCACAACACTGTCCGTAATTCGTAAAGTAGCACGTTTGCAATGCTCTAGCGCTTAGTGGTGTTAAGGCTGAATGCAGAGATTGCTGTGTGGTAGTATTAGACTTGTTTTCTGAGACAGAGGGTAAAGGCGGTACCTATTTTAGGGGAGAAAATTGTGCTCCGGCAACTGGATGTGATAGCTCTGCGTTATGCTCGACGCCGGCTCACTCTGCTGTGTGATAGGTACAGGGGATGTGTCAGGGTCAAGGTGAGACTGAGTTCAAGGAGTGAAATAGAAATTTGGGTATAGAAATAAACTAATTGACAGGAGTTTTTTTTGTTTTTTTTTTAAGGGTTGAAATAAGATTTAGACTGAGGAACTTTTAGTAAAAGCACCACAATGGAATTTTGCTCTTTGTAAGTAGAAGATTATGGTGTATTTGACTGCAATTTTGTTCTTACCTTCCAGTGAAAAAGGCAATACTGTTCCTGGATATGATTTTTTGGTGAATTCGGTCTGGCCAGAAATAGTACGAGGATTAGAAGAGAACTTGCCCTCACTTTTTAATCCTGGGGATCCTGATGCATTTCATGAGGTACCTTTCCCTCCTCCTTCTTGACTTTTGAAGATGGTAACCTGAGGCTGTAGAATAACCATTTTCTTTTCTGCACTGTCCTGGTTCTGTGGTTGATTAAAAATCAAAATTTGAGTTGCTGAGTGAGCATTTATCTTAAAATACACACATTGCTTTATCCATGTAACAGTCCCAAATACTTTGGGGAATGAGACTTTTTAATTTTAGAATGTCAAGTAAAATTCAGTGTAGATGATTGTGACTAGATATGTACGTTATTTTCTAAATTTTTAAAAAAGATTCTAGAATCATTTAAAGCCCATCTCTTTGTAGTTGTTTTCCATGAAAAATTAAGTTTGCATATCTCTACTGTATAATTTTGAAGGAAAACAAAAATTGTTGATTGCATTTAAAAAGATAGTATGTAGTTGTCCTATATAATTAAAAAGATGAGGAGGCCCTAACAGTGAGTGATTTTTTTTTTTAAAGATCATGTTATCATTGAAAGATTCCATGGTTTAGATTTCAGAGGTAAGTTCATATGTCCACTCTTCGCCTTGTCATGTTTTAAAGGCAGCACATGGTGCGTAGTGAAGAATAAGCCTCTCGGGCCAGTGGCCCGAATTCCGGGCCCAGCCTCCAGCTCACCAGCCTCTTGGATTTTGTTTTTCCTTCTCCTTCCCTGGATTTTGTTTTTTTTATTCAATATGACATTGTCTGTCTTTTAATTAGGTAATTTATTACATTTATAATGGCCGTAATTACTAATATGTTTGAGTCTTTGTACTTCCTGTTGGTCCCACTTTTCTTCCTTTTTCATCCTCTTTTTTTTTCCTTCCATTTCCACCTTCTTTGTGTTTTGGACTTTTGGGGATTTGTTTTCCTCTACTCTGTATTTTCTTCCACTACTTTGGAAGTGCTGCCCTTTATTTCTGTGTATATTAAGTACGCTTAGTCTTATAGAATCTGAAGTTTACTGGGGTTCTTCAACCTCTCAAATAACACTGGAAACTTAGAGCTATTAATATTATTAATATTAATAATATTAATATAGTATATATATTGCTTTCAGGGTCTTATTTCTATTTTGATTTCTTTAGCCCCCCCAAATAGGCATGATTTTTATTGTTTTATATGATCATGACCCTCTCAGAATGATGATTTATTACTCCCACAAGTTTATCATTTCCTTTGCATGCTGTTCCTTCTTGGATGTGAGATCTACCTTCTTGGATCATTTTCCTTCTTCCTGAAATTCATGTTAGAGGACTTTAATAGTAAGGATCTGTTGATGATAAACTTCATTTTTATAATAAACCCTTAGTTTGTGTTTGTCTGCAGTTAACCTTATTGCTTTCATGTTTGAAAAGTAGTTTTGCTGGAAATAGAATTCTCTGTACTTTGAACATTGTCTTTTGACTTTTGTTATGAAATTAGTTGTTAACCTAATTGTTGTTTCTTTGTAGTTAATACCTTTTTTTCTTTAGCTGCTCTTAAAATCTCCTCTGTGACTTTGGTGTGCTGTTTCATTATAATATGTCTAACATGAGCTTTTTAAATAGATCGTATTTGAGATTTATTGGGTTTTCTGAATCTGAGGACTATTGTCTTTTATAAATTCTGGGACGTTTTTACCCATTAGCTCTTTAATTGTGCCTCTCTCCCATTATTCTCTTATTTCCTTTTAGAATTCTTGATTAGACCTCCTCACTTTATCTTTTAGGTTTTCTAAATGCATGGGTACTTTCCTATTTTTCATCTCTTTGTCTCTGTGCTGCATTCTGGATAATTTCTCAGGACCTGTCTTCTCATTTACTAACTCCCGTTTTCAGCTGTGTCTACACTGTTTTTTCATCTGTGCATTGTTTCCAATTTTAACTATCCTAATTTATATTTCTAGAAGTTCTGTTTGCTTCTTTTTCTAATCTGCATGGTGAATTTGATTATTTTTTAAAGTGTAGAGAGGCACAAGGTAAGTGTGTTGTGAACCTGAACCTGGAGCCTGCTAGACTTCAAAACAAATAAGGCAACAAATGTGGAGCTTTATTGTCCCAGAAATACCAATTATCTGTTCTCTTGGCTGATTGTCGCACGTTACAGTACACTGACATTGATTTTTGTGATTTTAAAAGTAGGGTTTTTAAAAGTAGATTCCGTAAGTGGAGTGAAATTAATAGTCTCAAGCATTTGCAATTTAAGACCCTTCAGATTTTGCTGTCCTCCTTAGAGAATCGCATTGACCACATTAGGCTAAGAGATGCTTCAGCTCCTAAAGGAAGCTTCCTGGTAGAACTCTGACTTTAGAATTCTAAGCCAATACTTAATGCTTATGGGCAGAGTTTCCAGCAAGCACCCATCCCTTTCTCTCAAAGAGTGCTTTCAGCTTTCAGCTTTAATGTGACATGCCTCTTGTGAAGAGGGAAATACTGCATTCCCTTAGCACCCCTTATACACCAAGGTTCGGCTTCATTCCAGAAGAGGTGCCGAAATACCTTTCTTTGCCTCACCCCCCTCCCCTGACCGTGCTCAGGGCATATTCGAGAAGTGTCGCTCAAAGCGAGTTGAAAGGAATGCGAAGCCCCTGGTGTTGACTGTGCCGAAAGGCCTGTGGAAGCGCGGACCTCGCGCGTGCAGGTGAATGTGCAGGTGAACGGCCTGGCGGCTCAAAACTGAGCCCCCCTTAACTGAGAAGTACGGGCAGGTCCCGCAGGGTCCCCTGAGAGCCCGGGGCCTGGGGAACAGCATACCCTTTACGACAGCCCCAGTTTTCCCTGCTGACCAGAGTTCTGTTTCCTCTGTTTCCTCGCTTCGTCCTTGGGAAAGAAAGTCCTCTCTGAGCCTAAACAGAAAAGGAAATGCCGTCTGTAACACACAGAATCATAACAGTGGTTCCCGGACAGGGCAGTTGGTAGGTCCGATGAAATTACACAGCTTCAGGCACAGCATGTGGGTGGCCATGGTAGGTGGGTGCCAGGTGCTGCCAGGTTCCCGTCAGTGTCCTGTGGTCTCCTCGTCTATACGTGTGGTTTGGTTCCTTTGTTTTTAAAATTTTCTCTTCCTGGAGAGGTGATGAAAGTCACGCTACTTAATCTCCCGTCTCCTCCAGTTCCATAGGATGGGGTGCGGCGCCCAGAACCTGGAAACTGTCAGTTCCAGGGCACCGGGCTCCAAACACCCGGGTTTCCGAAGGGACTTGCCGCGAAAGGCCGGAGCGGGCCGCGGGACCGCCGGGCCTTACCTCGGCTTTGAGTGGGCACCTTGAAGGACAGTCCCTCAAGGTCCCTGTCAGCTCTAGGAACTGGGATTCTATGGGTCGACCTTCTTTATCTCGCTTATAGTTTGTAGTCTGTGCTCCCAGTTGTGCTTAGTTTGCTTGCATTGAAATGCCGCCTGTTTGTTCTTATTTTAGAAATATACCATAAGTATGGATTTTGTAAGAGCATTTGAGCGGCAGTGTGGATCACAGGCCAGTGTAAAACGACTGAGAGCACATCCTGCCTATCACAGCTTCAATAACAAGTGGAACTTGCCTGTGTATTTTCAGATAAGGTCAGTAATTTCTTCACTTCCCACCTCCTTTCTAAAACAGAATTTGAGCGCCAGGTAAGGACGCTGTCCCTGATTAACGGCCCTCCTTTGTGATCACCTTACCATTCTTTGCGAAACAAAATTTAAAGTGGAAATTTCCAAGAAATATCACGATTGCCAAAATGATGGCTTGCGTGACCAAAAGATAGGATTTATTTTCTAGAAATTGGAGAGCAGAGAACACTGGACTTGGAGTGAGCCGGACTCCAAGCCCAGGCTCATCCCCACCCGCGCCTTGTCTCCTTCCTCGTGGGAGGGAGAGAGCAGGAGTCCGCAGCCCTTCCTCGCTACTTTCCCTTTCTCGTCACCTGCCTCCAATGGTGGACCTGTCCCACAGCGATTGTTTTTGCTCACGTGTAACATCTTTTTCCCTCAGAGGCCATGGGGAGAAGCATAGCGTTGAGCGTTTTTTGCAGCTGGCTCTGTGACCCAGCTTAGGAGAATCCTCTTGATTGTCTTGGCTTTCTGTGTGGCCTTTGTGACGCTTGCTCTCTTCACTCTGGAAAGCGATGCCACTTCCGGATGTTACCGACGCAGTAATGAGGCTCTCAGAGCTCCTAGAGGAACTGTATGACACACCCATACCAACGTGTGCTCCGCTAGAAAAAATAGATAGTAGCCATTTTTGCAGATTCTTTTTTTTTTTTTTTCTTTGCAGATTCTCTTGAATGAGATCATGGTATGTTCCTTTGTAGAACGGCATTAACCAAAGCGTTTGAGTTGGAATGCTTCTTAAAAATTTTGGATGTTTTTGTTAGTTACGATGCAGTCCTTTACCCTGGAGTTCTGAAGAAAAATTACGGAGAGGGAAATACATTAAGAATCAGGTCCCTTGATTATAATTGCTCAGCATGATTGAGAATGTATGCGATCATCTTTGGTAATGAGATCACAGTTTTCAGAATGTTAGTGAGGTGCCCTCTCCCATACATACAGCACGTACTGTGTTTTATGCTTAATTTTTCTGGGTTGCATCATCATGTGGCTTGTCTTCTGGTAGGAAATTAAGGATTTGTGCATCCGAGATATTCATGGGGGGCATTGGAAATGCATGAGAATCAGGGTCAAGCCAGGGTAAGATGCCCTTTTGATCCCTGAGCAGAATTTAAAACGGCGACACGCCCTCTTACGGGGGGAGGCTGCGATGGAGAAGCAACACGTGCGTGGGGCCGTTTCCTCTGTGGTCCAGGCTGGGGGTCGGTGGCTTTAGATGCCGTCCCAGCACATCCACACACTTGTCCTTTCAGGCCGCACTCCGGAGCCCACGGTCCGGCCTAGTGACCCCGCCTCGCCCCACTCCCAGGCTCCTCGGGGCTGCCCCAGCCCCACGCCCGGGTCCCTGCCCGGCCGGCCCCCCGGGCCTCTCGGAACCGGTGACTGAGCTGGGGGGTCTGTGGAAGCTCAGGCAGAGTCCCGGCTTTCCTGCCTTTGCCACGCCTAGGCCTTAAGCACTCAAGGAGTGGACTAACTCTTCTTTATAAACTGTTTTATTTAAAATGAATAAAATATTTAAAAGGTATGTTCCAGATGTGGCACTTGTTCTCAATACATTTGTTTTTCCATTTAAAAAGTAAACCCAAGTAATAGTCTGTAGGCCTCCCCTATTGATTTTTATCAGGTGTCAGATTGTTTACCCTGGACTGTGACAAGAAGTTCTGCAAACACGGCTCGGGTCGGAGTTGCGCTGTTCCCTGGTTCACCTCAGGGTCATTTGAAGGAAGCCTGAAAACCAGTGGGCAGGGAGTGTCCCGACACGTCACCACGGAGAGACGCTCCCACTGCCCTCTCAGCGACCAGTTGACGTGCCTGGGTCTGACTGCGCACACTCCCTCCCTGCCGTCCAGGGGACACACTTGTCCCCTCACTGTTCCTGACACCCTGCCTCGTCTGCATTTCATCTGTTCTCACAGGAGTGTTGCGAAGGGGTTTCAGGCGGCGCCATTTGCAGAGGCGAGCCCTCTGCAGGCCCCCCGAGGCGGGGGAGGGGAAGGGTCCCTCCCGGAGCAGACAGGGAGCTGCGAGGCCCGCCCGGGGTCCCGGCGGGGCTGAAGGGCTGAAGGGCAGCCGGTCGGCCCTCACTGAAGGCAGGGCTGCTGCTCTTTGTCTGAAACGCCATTTCCTCTCCTGCTCAGTGTCCTCAGACTTGGGCTCTGAACTGTTTTTTAAAAACGCATATGTACCACCAAAAAACCCCAAAATTACTCTTAAGCCTGTGTCAGAACTTACTGCCACCTAGGGAACTAACTAGCAGGTGACAAAATGGTGTTGAGATGGAAGAGTTACATACTTGGTAAACAGTGCTACATAAGCAACCAAGTAAAAAATGAAATACAGTCACATGATGCAGAGCGGCGTTGTGGTCCACGCCGCTCACACGCGCTGCGGGGTCCCAGAGTATCGCATGAGGACACAGGGTTCAGGGGAGTTTCTTTTTTCCGACGGGAGCGATGTCTGCGGGGCTTGGAGTGGATGTCCTGCCACTCGCGGCGCCTCCGTTCTGAGGGCCCAGGCTGCACCCCAGCCTGTGGGCCGCTGACCGGGCTTGGCAGAGGAGACGGCCAGGGCTGCACGCGCAGGGCGACAGCCTGCCAGGCATAGTGGGCAGTCCTCGGGGGGGCCTGTGACCCTGCACAAGGACGCAGCCCACAGGAGCTACCCCAGTGAGGGTGGAAGGGCTATGGCCCGTTTAGTGGGGGCTTTCTGCGCAGGGCGGAGCCAGCCCGCCGCCCCGGGCCCGCACGCCCACCGCCTGCCCACCAGCGGCCTCCCTCAGCGGGCGGGGTGCCATGACAGTGCATGGACCCACACTGACACGCTGTCGTCCCCGGCCCCCGAATACTTGTGGAATGAACTCTGTTTCTGGGGGGGTTGGGAGAGCAGCTCTGGATCCTGTGGTCACACTCGCTTGGCCCGTTTTTCGCCTGCAGTTGCTGTAGGAGTTACAGGAGGAGCCCTAGCTCTGACCTTCCTTCCCCACGTCCTCGTCACATTGCCTTGTTCTTCTGTCTCCCACCTTCCCCCGCCTCCGTCTTACACAGAGTGCCTGACGGCACCCAGATAACCCAGGACCCCGTCCCCGGCTGAAGGCCTCTCGTTTCATCCCGTCCGCAAAGCCCCCTGTGCCGTACGAGGTCGCAGTCACGGGCTCCGGGATTAGGGCCTGGGTGCCTTCGGGGGCCGCTGTCAGCCCCCACAGGGGCCCGCAGGCGGAGGAAGTTCCTGCAGCTCAGGAAGAGCGGGGAATAGATGGGGAAAGGCATGTAGGAGCAGCAAAAACACTAATGTGCGCTCTTTTTTTTCAATCCCAGATTTAGAGAAATAGCGGGGTCCTTAGAAGCAGCACTTACAGATGTACTGGAAGATGCTCCAGGTAATTTCCTTTTTCTTTTTTTCAGGTAATTTCCTTAAAGTAATAAATGACAGAATGTCACTGAATGAGCTCATTGAGCTCACCAAGTCACCTAGACCGTAATGCCCACGGGTACTTTATCCCTGTCCTGTCTATCATTACAGTATGTTAAACCCTAAAGGCTTACTTTAACTTTTTTTTTTTAAGAGACCAAAAAAATAGAATTTTTTGGTTTCTGCAGTTTTTTGCATTGTGGAGATGATAAGAGCATGCTTATTTAAGAATGTAGGCAGCAGACCTCATGTTTGTTCCCAAATATCACATGTCAAGGGGATATAGTTCCTGGTGTGGTTAAGTGATCAGCCCTTTTTATAGCAAACTGGCTATGAGCTGCTTCCTCCCAGGCTCAGGGCGGCCCTTCCCGCCCTGGGGAGACTCACAGCTGAGGCTGGGGCCTCTGGAGCCCCGGGCACCCGCCCTGGGACATGGGACAGGTGACAGTGGTCGGCGTGCGCTTCCCCGGCACGTTCGCCTTCCTTACAGCCCCATCCGTCTGTGTCACGCTGTGGCCATTCCTAGGTTTCTAGGCAGCTGCACTCAGTTCCCGCCCCTGCACGTGCAGCTGAGTCGGTCTGTATGATCAGTCATATGTATGATTTGGTTTTCGAACAAATCTCTTCTCGAACAGTTTTCCAGAATGAATTAAGTTCAACAACTGAGGTTCCACTGTATTGGATGATAGCCCTTAATCGACTGAGATTCCTGCAATGTGTGTTTCCTCTCTAGCTGGAAGTTCCTACTGCCTGTTGGCTTCGCACAGAACGTGGAGCAGCCTTCAGAGGTGTTGGTCCGAACAGCTGTTCCTGCCGCTGCTGGCGCACCGCCTGTGGAGGCTCACACTGCAGGTCTTGGCGCGCTATTCCGTGTTCGTCAACGAGGTGAGGGCCAGCCCCTGGCTCAACCGTGACCAAGGCTGATGAGGGTCACAAACACACTGAGCTAAGCGCTCGAAGATCTTCGAAGGCCAGGGTGTCGTGAGTGGTTGGTTTGCGGGACGGCAGGAAGCCTGCGTCTCAGGTGTGCGTCCCGCTCTGTCTCCGTTCCCCGTTTAGTCTCTCTAGTGCTCCTGCGGGGCCGCCGTCCGTCTCACGTTCAGGGCTCGTCTCGTTGGGAAGCACCGCGCCGATGAGCTTGTTTTCCTTCTCAGAACCAGTCTCTGCGGTGGCTCTGTGTTAAAACAAAATGCTCGTTTTAATGGCAATGTTTAGAAATAAAAACATACATATTTTAATAGTTAATATTTGGACGTTCAAATATTACATGATCATTGAGATTAAAAGGTAGTAAAGTTAATTAGCCTTTCATCCACTTCAGAGTATCCTACTTCTTCCCCGTCCAGGTAGTTGGCTATACTCAGTGCCCACCTGCCTGTGGAGATTTATTAGGTGTTAGGCACACAGCCACGGGAGCGTTGACACAGTCCGCGGCCGAGCACCCCGTCCGCCAGGCTCCGCACCACCCTCGTGGGCTCTGGGACGCGTCTCTCATGGCAGCCCCCAGGGACAGCAGGCATATGCCCCGGCCGGTGCCGTGGGATGAGCATGAAAACAGAGGCGCGCGTGCGCTTTAAGGAAAGACAACACGGATAGTGGAGTCGCGGGCCCGTCGTCTCCTTGCTGAGGGTGTTCGTGCCAAGGGCACAGGCTTTCGAGTCAGGCAAGATCGGACTTGGCTCTGCTGCCTTTTCGTTTTGTGGCCGTGGGAAAATTAGGAGACTCAGATTCTCCATCTGTAAAATAAGGAATCAGCTTTCATACATTGTCATGAGGGGTAAAGAGACGCTTGTTGAATAACAACTGTTGAGTCAAGTGTGTGACACATAAGGAGTCTCAGTCGAAGTGAGCTTCCTCCTTCCCTCCGTTCAGAGGGTCCCTGCAGGCCAGCCCGACCCATCAGGCTGGTTCTGAAGACCAGCGCACGACTCCCGAGGGGCTCACGGGGCCCAGCGGGCCGTGCGGGTCTTTACTTGGGCCTGGGGCCTGCCGAGCCATGCATTCTTCCGTGCTAGCCAGTATTTCTTAAAGCTCTAATAAATTATTTTGTCTTGAAGGTTCATTATTTCATTCTTTTCCTGCTGCTGGTACTTCTCTCTGGTTTTCTCCTTCTAAACAATACATACTGCAAACACTTTGTTTATATTATTTGAAGCATAATGAGGTTCGGATTTTGATTTTTAATATTATATTACTATTGATAAGTTAAGAAACTCAGTAAATTGTTTACCTAACATAGTTAATTAGTTTCTAAAAACCTGCGGTATTCCAGAAATTAATTTGCCTTTGGTTCAGGGACCTATTATTTTACATTTGCCTATTACCCTTTAGCTCCAGAAATTAGACACATGCTCCAGGAGGATAACGTCCGTGGGCTCGAGGTTTGTTCTTGTTCCTCCGCGAGCCCTTCACACCTGTCTGTGGAAACGACATGGAGTGTCGTCTTAGCAGACCCTTGCTGAGACGTTGTAGTCAGCTAGCGCTTTATGGTGACTTGTGGACCCGCATATTTGACTGCTCATGCATCTCACTGTCTTGCTAGTGGAGAAATGTTTAGTCACTCAGTTCCTTTTTCAGCTTTTACTCAGGCCCATCTCCAATGAAAGCGCCAAGGATATTAAAAAACCTTTGGTAACTGGTAGCAAAGACCCTTCCGCCGCCCAAGGAAACACTGAAGACCAAGGAGGTGGCCCTCCCGAGACGAAGCCCGTGGCTTCCATTTCCAGCACCCAGCTGGTGTATGTCGTCGCCGACCTGGACAGGCTTCAGGAGCAGGTGAGCCTGTGTCCCAGGGTGCCGTGGGCTCGGTGCGGTGTTTTCTTAGGAGGTCTGTGCGAGCACAGGATACCGTCCGGCCCATGGGCTTAGACTTGCGGGGTCCTGGGGCACCTCAAGAGAGCACCTTGTTCATCTCCCCTGGGCTGTTTCCTACCAGACGCGCTCTCTTCCTGAGTTTCCTTGCAGTGCTCACGGAGAGCGTCCTAGCAAGTGTGGGTGAAGCCTCTGCCTTCGATTTAAAAAAGTGACTGACTATATAAAGTGCGTATTTATTTCAGCTTCCAGAGCTCTTGGAAACAATCAAGCCAAAACTTGAAATGCTTGGCTTTAAGAATTTTTCTTCTCTCTCAGGTAAAAACAATTCTTTAGACTTGACACATCTTTGAATAAGAAAGAACTTAAAATTTTAGAGACTGGGGGGTATATTTCAAGTACCATTCTCTTTAGTCATAAATCCTTAGTAGTTTCTCTATTCTGATCTGCAATCATAACTTCCCTGAAGGAGACATTTTGTTCAGTTCCAATCATTTAATTTGATGTGTTGTTGTGCACGCTCTAAACGCTCTGACAGTGCTGAACGTGAGGCTCACGCCTGGGCTGGCAGAGCGAGTGAGCTCCTGTGTGTGTCCGCAGCCGCCCTGGAGGACGCCCAGCGGCCGCTCGCGGCCTGCGTGCCTGCCCTCGGTGCCCGCGTCGTCCAGGACCTGAGCGAGGCCTGCGTCAGTCACCTGAAGGGCGCGCTGGAGGTCCCCCGGCTCTACAGGAGGACCAACAAGGTCAGCGCCGCTCACCGCCACGCACGCCGAGCTGGGGGGACGCCCGGTAGGGAAGCCGGGGGAGGGGGCCGTCGCACGGGGGCCGGGGGGGAGGCGGGTTCCCGGGGGCCACCCGAGACAAGTGCGCACCGCCCATTTGGAGATCTCGTGTCTGTGCGGCGCGCCCCACGTGGACGGTCAGGGGCCGGGGCAGTCAGACTGGGGCAGTGTGTACTTTGAGGTCCTAGACCTTTGTGGGGTAATTTTGTCTCCATGTCTCGTATTTGAAAAAACTAGAATTTACCTTGTCCCCTTCATCCTGCCATTGGAAGCGCCTGCTTTCCCCTGTTCTTTTGCCGGATGCGGTTTGAAAGCTGCATTAAGAAACACCAAGGGCGTTCTCCTGCTCTCTGATTTTGTGGAGTGGGAACTGGGGAGCTCATTTTTACCAGTGTCCTTGGTTCTCCCTGTTGAACTCGCATTTTCATGCATTAACACTTAGTGCATTCTTGCTAGATCTCACTTAACTTTCCCTCGGATTTCCTTTTTCCCCAGTTGTAGAATTGGGTTTTAGGCAGTTTACAGCTACAGTTATTCTCAGGAAGTGTAGAAATCTGCTAAGACATTGTTCAGTTTGGGAAAATCCGTGGACTCCCTGCAGGCCGGGGTGAGGCAAGGGGGGCAGCCTCTCTGCTGTGTGGCATTGGTGTCTCTCTGTGCTCCTGACACAGGGTCCTGAGGGTGGTGGCGGCTCTTCAGTGCTGAGCCGAGACTGAACTAGGCTCTGTGGCTGCCCTCCTTTTCCTTTTAGAGCTGCACCATGCAGCAGAATTGTCACTTTCAGCAAGAGAACCGTGTCACTGAGTTTTCTTCCTGGTCTGACCGGAAGCTCCCACTTAAAAGGAAGAGACAGATCTGTTTTGTATTGCCGAGCACATTTTTCTTACAATAACCTACCAGCTTTCCCCTTCTGTTCAGTCGGCTGTTGTACTTACTGAGTGCTTGCATCGCAGGTCAGACGCTGTGCTAAACGCCATACGCTCTTCTTAGTCCTTCTGCCACGTGGGTGCTAGTGCCCTTCTTTACAGACAGAGAAACCAAAATCAGAGAAGTCAAGTTACTCACCCTAGATCCTGCTTCTCACTCGGCCGTCTGTTGACCAGCAGCGTTAACATCACCTGCTGGGAGCTTGTTAGAAACATCTTGAAGCTCAGCCCTCCGCCCCAGCCCATCCACACACATGGAATGAGACCCGAAATTGAATGAGCTCACTGGGTAGCAGGTGTGGATGTGAAGTGACAGGAAGCAGCACCCTAGGGAATGAAGCTGCCGGCGGCTAGCGCAGCCCCTGAACCCAGTCAGGCTCCAGACGCCGCCTCCCTGCCGCCGCTCCCTGAGTCCCTCTTATTCTCCAGGTGTCTGTCTGCACACAGCCTAGCACTGCTTTGTGGAAAGGAGGGAGGGTGCACATGTCTCAGAACTGGCACATCACCAGTGTCCTTTTGAACTTGAGGCTTGAATAACTTACCATCTCTTTTTTCTGTGCCTCTTCCACCTCGACCAACAATACTCCAGGAGGTGCCCACGACAGCTTCCTCTTACGTGGACAGCGCTCTGAGACCGTTCCACCAGCTTCAGAGTGGGCACAAGGATAAGCTGAAACACGCGATCATTCAGCAGTGGTTACAAGGCGCTCTCTCGGAGAGCACTCACAAGTAAGGGACTCTTCGGGCCTTCCTGGGCCAGCCTTAGAAAACGCTGCTTCCGGCTTCGCCGAGGTTATCAGAGGGCGGAGGGCGGACGGGGTGGTGAGACCATGAGATCGCCTCGTCACGCAGCAAGGTGGGGGCGAGCTGTGCCCCCGCCCCCGCCCTCAGGCTCCGCCTGGGCTACAGACAGCTTGGCCCACGTTCCCACTGTCTTGGCACCGCCAGCCACACCTCTCGGGGGTCCCGGCACCCTCCATCCCCTCCCCGGGCGCCCCTGCCTCCTGCTGTCCTTGATACCCTCTCATGCGGGCACCCTTTTCTAAAGTCCAGTCACACGTTTCCCCTGACGTCCCTCCCCCTGCCCCGCTCTGTCCGCCCAGGACGGCCTCAGCCGTGCCGTCGTTGCCGGGGAAGGGGAAAGGCATTGCCACCGATAAAGGGTCGGTCGGTGCCTGAGACCCCGCAGCCCAGGGAATCGCAAGGGGCCCCCTCAGAACCGCCGTGGCTGAAGGCCTCCCCGTGGCTAATTCAGTCTCCTTTCCCCAGATGCCGACATTGAGTTATGTCGGAGACTATTATTCAGTTTCGTTGTTGAATTTTGTTTAAATATTCATTTTGCTGCAGTATTTTATTTGTTTCAATTACTTACGGGTTAAATGGCATGTGTGGGTTACTTTAGAACATCAAAATGAGTTATGATATTATTTCTATGTAAATGCCCGATAATCAGCTTGTAAACAGAGTTTTTAAACATCATTCATTTATAGCTTGAACAGTATATTGAGAATATTTTGAAGGCAATTAGTTTTATTTAATTGTGAAATGCTTTTACTCTCTAAAAAGAGGAACTGTTCCTAGAACTGATTGTCAATGAACGTGTTACTTGCACGGGGGAATGAGCTGCAGATGTTTACTCTTGATACAAGAACGACAGTTCCGCCCATGATTTCCTCCTAGTGTCCAGGACTAAAATTGTAACGAGACACACACACGTATGTCTGAAGTTCTCGGGTATGGATGGCTAGGGAGTCAAGGCCCTGTTTTTCATTCAGTCTGAAGAAACATTAAGTACTTACCATGGCCGATATTTTATTGGAAGTGAATTTTTATATTAAAAATCAGTCTCTCTCTCTCTTTCTTTTTGGTCCCCAGTGCCAGTAAGTGTGTTTGGTGTTACACAACACCTGTTCACCTGTCAATGTGTCTCGTGCCCCAGGTACTATGAGACCGTGTCTGACGTCCTGCATTCTGTGAAGAAGATGGAGGAGAGCCTGAAAAGGCTAAAACAAGCCCGAAAAACCAACCCCACCCACCCCGGTGGGTCCAGCCCCGGCGGAATGAGTGACGACGACAAAATCAGGCTGCAGCTGGCCTTGGACGTTGAGTACCTCGGGGAGCAGGTAACCGCAACATGTCGTCAGTCCCAGGGACTCTGAAACCGAACCCTGGGTGTCACCTGGTGGTTCACATGAGCCCAGAGGTGCTGCTGAGGGGGCTGGGGAGGCTGGTCCCCGATGCCAGGACAAGGGGCCAGGGCCCCAAGATACTCAAAGTGCAAATACTTGCACCTAGGAAATACGAGAAAGAAAAGATAGAATACCGAAAGCCTCCTTTCGGAAATCCATTGGCTCTTTTGTGCGGTTACGTCGGCTTGGTCCTCAGCGCTCGCAGGCACAAAGCCCACTGGGGAGGTGCTCACAGAGGTCTCGTCCTCGGTTCCCTGCCTGACACGTGATCACCGCCACATCGGGTCTTTGGAAATGTTAGCTGGTTTGGCTTGGAACAACTAGAAAAGCCCCAGCGCGTTGAATTCGGTGTGGAGCTTGAGAAAGCACCGGGGCGCAGCTGCTCTGGGGGCCCTCCGACCGACGCAGGTTGAGAGGCGGGGCGCACGGCTGAACACAGCGTGCGTGTCGCCAGGTGGGAGGCGGGTAAGGGCTCCACACAGGCCTTGCCTTCTGAGGCAGAGGCAGTGTCCCTGGGTGTCCCGGAACTTCAGAGGGTCAAGAAGTGGCTTTGCATGCTGCTCAGGTGTTCTGTGTAGAGAACGGTCCTCAAGGTGGATCCTCCAGGAGGCCCTCCCGGCGAGGCCTGCTTGCTGGGGAAAAAGGGAGACCGGAACGTGTCCACCCGGAGACGCTTGGCTTTCTAGCCCACCGAGTGCCGCCTTCCGCCCATCAGGGTTGTTGCCAAAAAGCTGAATTCTTTGCTTTGAGGCAAATTTAGAGACATATCCTGGCAAAAAACTTAATCTTTTTATAAGCAAGAAAGTTTGTTAGGAAAGTATAAAGAATAAGCAAGGGAAGAAAGGAGGGGTGGGAGGGAGGATGGGAGAAAAGGCAGCCCCCATCTCGTGAGTCCCCGCGACAGACCGCGACACTAACAGCGCTAACACGCCGTATAGGCCGTTCGGGCTCCTACGGTGCGTGCTTGTGTGTGTGTGTGGTTGCTGCTGCTATTGCTGCTGCTGCACTAAAGAGGGAACACCATGTGCCATCTCTCGGTTACCAAAATAATACACAGTAGTTGCTGTGCCAAAGTATTTTCAATCAGTCGGGGTTTAAGAAAAGGTGGTTGGCATGTTAAGAAATTCAGACAGGCCAATTCTTTTCTGAGAATTCGCCACTTAAAAAAATAGTTCAGTTTATTATTTCTTTCAGTGTGAATTTTCTTTGCCAGTCCACAAAAGAGGCTCTTAACCTGTTAGATTCTGATTTGATGGGCCAAGGGCAGTTACACACACTGGCTCCTTAGAATGCTAAGCGTTTGACCCCTGAAAGGAAAATTTTACAATAAGTAAATCCTTTGCTCTAAAGGGAAAAAATATGCTGCCATTCTTTAAGGAGCTGCCTTTTTCTTATTTAGTAGCGGCTGGGGGTGAATATTTTATTTTTTGTAAGGGTCTTTTTTTCACACTCAGTTTAAATCGCAGCAACTTAACTCATTCTCACGGCCTTTGCAGATACAAAAGATGGGCCTGCAGACAAGGGACATAAAAAGCTTCGCGGCGCTCGCGGAGCTCGTGGCCGCCGCCAAGGACCCGGCAACAGCAGAGCAGCCGTAGGCATCCGGGGCGCCCGTGGGGAGCGCAGAAGAAAGCGGCTCTGTTCTCTCCGCAGCCCCGCACCCCCGGAGTGGACAGAATGTTCCCGCCAGCCCACCGGCCACGCGCCAGCACAGCACGCCCCGCACATTTGGGTCTTCTTTCACCCGAGAAGAACACAAAAGCCTTTTTCCGTTGTATGGAAGATAGTTTTTAAGACGTTTGAAACTTTCTACTATAGTTTACAGAGCAAATTATTTTATTTTTATTGTAAATCTTAGTGAGGAAGAGCCGATTTCTAAAATATGATTAAAGTAAATATATACACACAAGTACAGAAAGCGTTCTCCCTGGCCCGCAACAGAAGTGGCCTCCTGCCCCGAGGGGCCGCCCTGAGGCAGCACCCCCTCCAAGGCCACGTGGATGGACTCCCCGAGAGGCTGCAAGGTGCCGGCTCCCGCCCTCCCGCCAGCTGTTCAAGAACAGCACTCCGAGCGTGCTCTTCGCCCAGCCCTCTACCGGAGCTGGGACCAGGCGGGGGGATCTATTTTCTAAATAAAAGAAGTGTCTGCCCAGAGCGTGCGTACCTTTCCTTTGTGAATTCAGCACAGGGTCCCGTAATGACCCATTTCCATCTGGCCAGTGTTGCCTCCCGCACCGCTGGGAGGGCCCTGCCCCCCAGTGAGGCTGCCCGTAGGCACGGGAGGGTCCATCCAGGGGCGGGCAACAAACACACCTGCCCATGCAGGCCCGCAGCCGCCCTCCCTCCTGGTGAGCTAGTCTTGTGTCGGGGGGTTAGCTCGTCAGGTGGACAGAGTCGGGACATCGGGAAGAGGTGGTCAGAGCACGTGCTGGTTTCAGCCACCTGCGCCCTTACACGCACCTGCACGCTCGTGCTTGGGGCACCTGCCCGTGCAGCATAGCGACAACAGGAACGCAGGCGTGCGCGTTCCTCCAGCTTCACCTGTCTTTGCACCTCAGCCTCCCCTCTGTTGAAAGGTTAGTTGTAGGGAGACCAAGGAAAGGGGGAAGTGACAGGGAAGTAAGCAGTTGGGGAGTCACAGGAAGGGCTTGCTTTGAGCATAGTGACGAGGCCTGGCTGGAGGGAGGACAGGGAGCCCTGAGGACGAGCCCTGGGGAAAGCCCAGGGCAGCGGCGTGGGCACCAGGAGCTCCATCGGCCCCGCGCCCGCACTGCTGGAGGCGGCTCCCGCCCTGTCGCTGCAGACTGCACCTGCTCTGGGCTTAGCAGCGGACCAGGCCCTGCCCCTGGGCGGGTGAGCGTCTGACTGCAGTTAGCGTTAGGGAGCTGGGTCAGGACAGGACTGTGGGAGTGAGGAGTGAGGGGGTGGGGACTTAACTACAAGGGTTTGACCTGACTCAGGTGTGGGGGCTGGCTCTCTGGTCTGCGTGCAGCTCGCGCTGCCTCTCGGTGCAGCGGGGAGCAGTCAGGAGGGAAAGGTGCATGCAAAGGTCGAAACAGCGGGGACGGAACGGAGCCTGCACCTGTGTCTCGCTGCCTGCCTGTGTCCCAAGTTCAGCAATGGGTGACCTGCCAGAGCTGTGCCTTTCCTGAAGCCGTGCACACACCCGGCCAAGGACCAGAGGAAGCTGCCGCCTGGGGCTTGGGAGGAAGAGGTCCAGCGGGGCCTACTGCCCCATGCCAACCGGCGACCTGCACCTGGCGACCTGCACCTGCCCGCCCGGGTGAGCGTGCCGTGTGGCTCCGCCTTCCAATCCCGCAGCCTCCAGCCAGCAGGAACCTCGAACGACCCCAGGAGGGAGTCCAGGGAGCATATTCCCCGCCGCACCTGGTGACCCGGGACAGACCTACCCAGTGGCCACATGGCTGACCTGGTCCCTCCAGCCCGGCCCCAGTCAGGGACAGACTCAGTGTCATCCCGTGTCCCCAACTGCTCTGCCTCCCCACTTTGTACCCAACACAGAGGAGGGCGATATGATTTGTTAGCCCTCCCCCGCCCCCACTCTACTGTTACTCCCATTCTGTAGGTGAGGAATGTGAGACAGAAACTTAGGTGTTGCGATAACAGGACAGTGGAATTTAAGCCCAGGCAATAGTTCCGGAGCCCAATTTGTTCGCCACTAGGTAACGCTCCCTCCTGGACATGAGCATTGAAACAGGGAGCTGATTATGGGGGATTGGGATCTAGGTTCTTGATTTTTTTTTTCTTTTTTAGACTTTATTTATTCTTAGAGGGGAAGGGGGGAGAAAGAGAGGGAGAGAAACATTGATCAGTGGCCTCTCGCACACGCCCCATCCAGGGACTGAACCCGCAACCGAGGCACGTGCCCTGACTGGGACCGGAACCAGCGACCTTTCACTTTGCAGGATGAGACCCAGACAGCGGAGCCGCGCGGGTCACGGCCTGGGTGTTGATTTCTTTGGCTCCCCTCAAGCCCCAGCTCAGCCTTGATCCAGTAACACCACAGTCTCCAGCTTGTTTGACATCAGCAACATCTTTAAGGCCATGATGTATGTTTTTAGGCTTAAGAAATGAGGATCTTTAGTTAAAAAGCAGAAGGTCCCAGAACGCTTCTCTCTGCCTTCCTCAGAACATCTCCTCTCTTTAAAATGCATGTAATTACTTAGCTGCGCTTTAGAGAATTTCAATCGAAGAAAATTTAAAGATGAAGTAATACTTTTTCATGTAAAACTAATTTTGAAGAACTTAACATATAGAACCAAAAAGCGGTCGCAGGCCCCAGAGCTGGTGTGCTGGTGTCCTCAGGTGCTGGGGTGCCCCGGAATGAGGTGGGGTGCGCCCGGGCCATGTCAGACGGCAGAAAGGGGGTGTGGCTTCTGTCCTGCATATCGAGTGACATCCGGGGTCTCGGGGACAGGGCTCGCTAATCCAGCGTGCGCATCCTGGATTTAGAACTCCTCCCGCTACCATCCTCCTGTGACACAAAGGTTGTGAAGAGCCTCACACCTGCCCAGAGGGCATTTTGCTGCCAAACGGAAACAAAAATTGTTTGGTTTTTCTAAGCTCCGTAAAGGCTGTGCGGTCAGATGATGACTCGATGCGCCGGGGGAAGCCGCCCCGGCCACCTTGGCTCCCAGTCCGGTTTGGAACTGGGCTGCTAGAACGGGCGGAGGCCATGGTCCTGTTAGGGGCCGAGTGCCATATGGTGGAAACACTCATTGACTCATTCGAGTGTTTCCCATTTTATAAATAAGGGGATGGGGGCAGGGAGGTGAAGTAACCTGTTCCGGGTCACACAGCATCTAGTGTCGGTGCTGGGCTCCCTGCAAGCCCGCCCCTCTCCAGGGCCCGCCCCCCTCCAGGGCCCGCCCCCCTCCAGGGCCCGCCCCCCTCCAGGGCCCGCCCCCCTCCAGGGCCCGCCCCCCTCCAGGGCCCGCCCCCCTCCAGGGCCCGCCCCCCTCCAGGGCCCGCCTCCGAGCGCCCACCAAGCTGCCCCAGGTGCCTGGCACCCAGACCCGATCACGCCCACAGAGGCAGGAAGGGCCAGCCGTCCCCCTTGTTCCCAAAGCTCGGGACGGCCTGTGGCCGACCAGAAGGGCGCTTGGGAATGTGAGGGGAGAAGCTGAGGTATGGAGGCTGTCGTTGCTGTTCGGAGCAGGCAGACCCGCCACCTGAACCCACGCAGGCTCTGGCCCACCGCCATCCCCTGGAGTGCGGCTCCGATGGCCCAGCAGGAGAGCGGGTGAGGCCTGGGCGCAGGGCGGGCACCGTGCTAATACAGCAGGAAAGCACTCGGTCAACTCTGAACCCGGCCATCCCGACTCCCTCCCCGGGGTGCCTCCCAGCCCCATCCCTGCTGTCACGTGCTCCGTAGCTCTCATGGGTAGCTGCTTTGTCACCTTGCCTGCTGAGCCCATATTTATAGACAGTGTCTTCTGTCCCTCAGCAGCATCCTCAGTTATCAGGGAGCAGCGTGGGCCTGCCGGGTGTCCAGTCCCTCCTCAGGCTTTGCCTGAGGTTTGGTGTGGGGCAGGGAGGAGGAGGACAGACAGGGACACTCAACAGACAGAAAGGAATGTGCAAGTGAAGACTTCTGTTCTGCTCCCCGGGCACTATGCCTCATCATGACACCCTGACCCTGTGTCCCAGAAACGGAGAAGTGCCCATCTGTCTTGCTTGTCCCCAGCTGCGTGGGGTGCGGAGCCATGGCTCAGGGCAGTCACTTGCCGCTGAGGAAGGAAGGGTCCAGAAAAACACATCTCCTTCAGCTTCTAAGACCTAGAAAGAACTTTTGTTTGTACGGTTTGTCTGCTAAATGGCATATATTTGTCTGCTAAGTGAATTTTTTTCCTTTTTGCTTATTGTTGTAAGACATTTATTAATAACAGGATAATCAGCCACGGTGTTACATTCTAACTTACACTCAGATGCTTGTTTTCCAAACATCACAAGTATCATGGGGAAGAAAAACTCGGGCGTTGTGGAGACAGCGTGCAGGCCACAGTTCCCATTCACTAAGCTGCAAAACCCAGGGCAGTGAAAAATATATATGTCAATTTTAAAACCCAATTTCTGTCTCCAATTAAAAAGGAAACAATTATTGGTTTCACAAACACGTTGACCCATGCAAACTCTTTCCAGGACGGTAGTCCTGTGCTGAACGCTGGTTCTCGGCTCCCCCCACGCTCCCAAGAAAAACCTAAGGACCTGAGGGCCTGCTTTGCCTGCAGGTCCTGCTGCTCCCATCACAGCACCGCCTGCCGGAGGAGGAACGGCTTCTTTCAGCTCCCAGCTGACTCATTGGAAGAAAAAGCAGAAGACCATGGAGACCAATTAGTGGTGCTTTGCATCGCTGCCCTCACCCACGGTGGCGGCCGCGTGTCAACAGCAGGCCGACCTCACACCGCGTTCAGAGGGTTGGCCACGCGGCCCAGGAAGTGGAGAGCTGTGGAGTCTTGGTCGTAGACGGCAAACAGGAATGGGCAGTTCAGGGTCACCTCCATGACCTCGGGTCCCGCCGGCTGCTGGGCAGACTCTGTGGGCTGCTCTCCCTTGTCTGCTTTGAGTTCAAACAGCACGCTGTTCAGCACCTGCAAAGCGGCAAGTATTGGGGTCGTTCCTGCGAGCTCTGCAGGGCCCAAGGGTGGCTGTGCAGAGCTGCCGTAGCGGAGGATGGTCCTAGCCCGTCCAGACAATGCACGGTGCCTGCAGGCCCTCAGCAACTCTCAGCACAACGTGAGGGCTCTGCCCCAAAGTGCCCTCGGACCTGCCTGTCCCAGCCTCCCACCTCGCTGCCCTGGAAAGGGCCTCTGGCCCCCGACCATGGCCCACCTGGGCTGAGGGTTGTCCTGCCCATTTAGCACAGGGTCTCCTGCTCCCTGCAACAGTGGCGTCTGAGGCCAGGATGGGGAGTGACCCCATGTGTCCCTGCACTGAGCACAGTGCTGGGAGCTCACAAGCCCCCTCTCATTGCCAAGGTGCGTCATCCTGGGTGGCAGCGGGAGAGCCTGTTCTCTGGGGGGCGTTCCCCTGAGACTGGAGCTGTCTGGCAGGGCCGGCCCTGCGCTGGGGGCTCCTACTCCCCTAGCCCCGACCGCAGGCAAGGTCCGGCCCGGCAGAGCCACAGAACATAGGGGCGGGGCGGGGGCGGGGGTTGCTGCTCTCCACCTGTCTCTGGAAAGCCCCAGAAAGCTCTGGTCACATCTCTCCCACCCTGGACACACACCCACCTGGCCATGCTCTCCTCTCCCACCTGCGCTACCCCACCTTCTGTGTCCCTTCCATGTACACCTCCCACCCTGGGAATGCACAGACCCAACCCAGGCACACGCCGCACGGTACCTGTCCGACGCGGGGATTGGTGTCGCTGATTCCGCCCAGGTTCGCCTCGGCGCCCAGCAGGGTGGGCAGCTTGGCCTGGGCGAGCAGGCCCTGCAGGTCGTAGGACACTCGCAGCGCCAGCTGGGGCAGGGTCAGGCGCATGGCCCTGAGGAGACGACCCGCCGTTAGGAAGGCCGCAGGCGGCTCCCAGCGCGCGGCCGGGGCAAGCAGGGGGCCCTCGGACGCCCTGGGAAGCCAGCTGGCCGATGTGTGCACCGTGGAGGGAGCATTTGCCAGGGGAGAAATTGCTCTGTCACCATTGGGAAGAGGAGCAAGCGGCCAGAGCAGCAGCCCTGGGGCATCTGGAGGCAAGGGCGGCTCCCCTGGGAAAGGCTGCCCAGGTCGCTCAGAGGGGACGAGCCCTCCTGGGAAGCCAGCCCCCAACAAGCCCTTAGAAGACAGCAGAGGTGTGTGTGTCTGCGCTGGCGTCCAAAAAGTCCCCGCTCAGAGTGCGCATCGAAATGCACCCTGACCCTCCAAATGGCGGGGCAGGGCAGGGGGGTGGGAATCACCTCTCCTGCCCCTAGAAAGACAGCGATTAATAAATCAAGCAGCAACTCAGCAGACGCTGGAGAGACGAGGGCAGATGCACAGCCTCTACTCCCGAGCAGCAGAGGTGCTGTCCCTGCTCTGTGCCCGGGGCTTGGCCGACACCAGCGCCCATGTCCTCCCTCGTCCCCCCACATCCCCTCCCATCCTAAGCAGAAGGCCTGGCACCGCCCCCCACTTTCCAGGGGCAGCGGGAGGCTCCGAGGGATCCCCAGGGGCCATACCGGGGAGGCAGGCTCTTGGTCCACGTCAGGAAGTCGTGCTGGAGGACAAGGGCCTCGGCCTCCCGCAGGGCCGCGGCGCAGTGGGGCCAGATGAGCAGCAGGCCCACGTTCTGGCTGAGGGGCACCCGGGCCACGGAGAGGTTGCCGTGGGCGTCGCTCCAGTGCTGGAAGGTGCCTGTGCCCGAGAGCATGGCCACCGACACGGAGGTGCTGTTGTCCACCCAGAACTCCTGGGGCTCCGCCAGCAGGGAGAACCCCTTCATCTGCCCTGGAGACCCGGGCAGGGACACAAGGGAAGAGTCAGCGAGGCCTAGACGGGCAGACGCCAGAGGCCCGGCCCCTGCCCGCCCTCCCCGGCACAACCCAGGGCCACCGCGTCTCCCAAGGGCCAGTCAAGTTCTCCTCCTGCCGCATCCAGCCATTGTGAGCTCACTAAGGGAACACCAACCGCCAGCGGTGACGACGGTGCAGCCAGGCGCCAGCCGGAGACGGTGCGCTGTCCCCTTAAGGCCCGCAGAGGACATCGGAGAGCTTAAGGAGCCTCCCGCACCAGGAGCTGGTGGGGCGAACGGACCCCGGATCTGCCGGGCCCGAGGCCTGGGGTCCAGCATGCTCCCTCTGGTTTTCGTTTTTGAATGAAGTTTACTTTTTAGGGCAGTTTTAGGTTCACAGAAAAATTAAGGGGCAGGAAGAGAGATTTCTCAGGAACCTGCAACCCCCGCCCACACAGCCTCCCTCACTGTCACCACCAGCACGCCCAGCACGGATCGACCCACTGCCACATCGTCACCCAGAGTCCCTAGCTTGCGTGAGGGTTCTCTCTGGGCGCGGCACAGCCCAGGAGCCCGGACAAATGTGCGACGGCGTGACTCCACCATCACACTGCCACACAGGAGAGTTTCGCTGCCCCAGACGCTCTCTGTGCACGCTCACGATTGTATGCGCATTCGGCACCAGCTGTGCCGGAGACGGCCGGCTGCCCACCAGGGTCCTTTGTCCCTTTCTCAGAGCCACAGCCTGAGAGCTGGGCGCGCCCCTCCAGGAACGAAGGCTGTGTGTCTCAAGACACCCTGCTGCTCGGGACAGACCTGCAGCCCAGCTGAGCCCAGCGGATTTGAGCTGCTGCGCTAGGCACACCCTCGGTGAGGGACCCGGAGTGGGGCTGGCCCTGTCCCCTGCCCGGCAGCGAGGCCGGTGGCAGGCAGCTGCAGAGCCGAGCTCTTAGCAAACTTTCGTCGAAGGCACGGCCACTCAGGGCACCTCCGTGACGTCCCACTGGCTCACCCCTCCTCTGAAACCCTCCCTGTTGCCTCAAAAGGCCTGCTCTGGGGTGTCTCTGGGAAGAAAAGTGAGGATGAGGAAGAGCCGCCACAGAGCAGCCCCGGGGAGCATGGCCCTCGAGGGTGTGAGGAGAGGAAGCTTAAAAACAAGTCACCTTGCTCCTCATTGAATCAGGTGTCCAAGGCCAAGGGAGTGGGGCTTGGGGCGGGAGGTGGGGGTGGGGGGAGGTGCGGAACGGGTTTCCCGGCGGGAGGGAGCTGGACCGGCTTTGCTGAGCCAGGGTCTTGTGAGAAGGGAAGGTAGGCCCTGCGTCTCTTTGGTCTTTGTACCCAGCGCACTTTTGACAAGAGCAGCTGGAGCGAGGGCGTGGGAGCAAGAAGCTTCCGTGTTACCCTTTGCGACAGCGTGGACGGACCTGCAGGGTATTATGCCAAGTGAAGTAAGTCAGAGAAGAACTAATACCACCTGAAAAAGGTAAAGGAGTTAAGAAAAAGCACCTCCTAGACCGGCCACAGTCCGGTGATTTCCCGGGTGAGGGGGCGGGCGGGGCGGTAGGAGGGGTTAAGGGGGGGAATGGTGAGGGAAGGAGACGGCCGGCGTGGTGAACACACTGTGCACCTGAAACCTATGTCATTTTATTAACCAGTGTCACCCCCGTAAATTCAATTTGAAAAAAAAAGCAGCAGCTCCGGCGACCTTCCTCACACGCTTCCCCTTGGGGACCTCGGCACTGGCCCACCAGGCCCGGCAGGAGGCTTTTTAGTTTAGAGAGAAAAAGGACTAAATTCTTTCCACCAACAAACTAAAATAAACAGGCGCTGGAATGTGAGCCGAGGGGGCTGCCCTCTTGCCTCAGCTCATCTGAGAAGCACCATCCTCGTCCAGCGTTAAGTAAACCCCTCAAGGTTAAGTCAACGGATGTCGCCGAACCTGCCAGCGCCAGCACCCAAGCCCGAGGTGACAGGAAGTGCCGGCAAAGGGCGCCTGAGCTCACCGGCTCTCCGATGCCCAGCCCCCGCTGGTTAGAAACGTCCAATCGTGCGCTGAGGTCGTCGTGGCAAAACATTATTACTAAACGGGATTAGTGCCCCCGACATAGACTGCTTGTTTCATAAACGGACCCGCATCGGGGGCAGGAAGGGCACACGCATCTCCACGTGACAGAAGCTGAGGTCAGGGCCCGAGAGCAGGGGCTGGGCCGTGGCGGGGCTGGGCGCGCACCCCAGGACTCCTGCGTCCTGAGCGTGACTGGTCTTTTTCTACGTCTCCCCCTTTTTCCTCCCTCACCTTCCCATCCAGCTCTGTCCTGTGGAATCACATGGATGGGCACTTCTCTGACATGAGGCCTCATTTCGGACACCAGTGGTTCTCTGGCTTTGCCTTTCTCAGTGAGCTCTCCCCTGGGGCCACTCTTAGAGACCACACGCCAGCCCACGGCCCCCCCCCCCACTATGGTGTGGCCGTCCTCAGCCGGATGGCCGGCCCCTCTGCTGGACTCTGCCCCCGTGACCTGTCCGACCTGGGACCTGAGCAAACGGTCTGTCTTCTTCCTCCTCGCCCCAAGGGCAGCTGGAGGTCCTTTCCTGGTGCCGTTTTAGGAACTTCCTGCATGTGACCAGAGTAAGAAAGTGATCTGCCCCTTTTGACCTCTCTCTCCACAGCTCTGTCTTCAACTACTGGCTTACTTGGGCTCCCTGTCCCTCCCCCGATCCCCCGCCCTCAGTTGCTAATTTTGAGCGAATCTCCTCAATGCCCCCGAGATGCCGGGCTCCCCCCGTTAGTCATCCGTCGCAGAGCCCCTAGCTTAGAGCATGTCCCTGGCGAGTTTGCCTCAAGTATCGCAACACCTTCCAAGGGCCCACCCATCTCCCGAGCACACAGCTCAGGCCACCGGCACGACCTCCGGGCAGAACGCTTGTCCACTTGGACGCCTGCCACCAAAGAACTCTAACCTTCCCAGCAGCACATTCAAAGTCTCAAAACCTGGCCCCACCCACCTTCCCAGCCTCGCCTCCCACTGTCCCTGTCTCCTCCTGATGTCCGATCTCCTTCTTCCCCTTGAACTTGGCCACCTCTGCTTGCAGGTTTCTCCTCACTGACGCCCCGCTCCCCTTGTCACCCTCAGGCCTCTGTCCGCTGCCCGGTGACACCCTCCTCTGAGTGCTCTGAGCCTCCCGGAGCACCCTCGTGGCGGACTCCAGCCTGCAGCTCCGGGGCCAGGGCATCGGCCCGCAGGGTCTGACTCCCCAGCGAACCTCAATGACCCGGGGTCGGGGCTCACGCCCCCTCCCCCGTGGCACCTCCGAGGCGCCCAGCTCAGCGTCTTGCAGCTTCTCGACGATCCCTTGTCGGGTGAAGGGGTGACCCATGCAGCAGGGGTTGCTAGGTAAGAACCCGCTCCGTGCGGGAGGGGTTTAAGCAAAGGGGTCCTTTTCACACAGGACAGTGACCTCCTCAAGAGGGAGAAACCCGGGCCTCCTGAGCATGGAGCTGGGCCGCGGGGGCCAGGAGATGTGCGTTCGGATCCCAGGCCCCGCGCTCACGGCTGGGCCATCGCAAGCAAGTCACTTTGTTTCTCTGAGTCTCTATTTCTGCTCCAGGGACAAAGGCGGTGACACCTCTTCACCACATCACAGGGGTCAGAGGATGAGAGCGAAAGGACGCAGGAGAGCGGCTGCAGAGACAGGGCGGCGGGGCGGGGGGCAGGCGCCCAAGCGGCGCTCACCCCAGGAGCCCAGCAGGACAGCCACGCCTGTCCTCCTGGGGGTGGCCCGCAGGAACCTGTCAGGTCAGCCCCCCTGCCCGGCTCCAAGGCCGGGCCCTGCTCAGCTCAGACGTTGGACATTAGAGCCATAAGGACAGGGAGCGCCCCGCTGTGGCACCCGCCTGGGGGCGGGGTCAACCCGGAGGCTTCGCCTTACCCTGAAAGTGGACGTAAGCGTTGAAGGCCATGGTGCTGTCCGGGCTGATTCCCGCCGGGGGACCGCTCATCTTCCACCCTGTTACGGCGTCCATGAACCTGTCGATCTTCTCAGCGGCGAGTTCGGGGTCCGTGGACAGGTCTAGAGAGCGCGGGAGGGTGATGGGGGCGAAGGGAGCCAGGCCCTGCACAAAAGACTGCTTCAGGCGCAGGTCAGGGGCCGTGAACAGGCCCACCACGGTGGACAGCAGCAATCTGCCCGGGCTGCGAGCCCCGCCCTGCAGGACCAGAAGGCCCTGGATGGTCTGCAGGGCAGAGAGGACCTTGTGGCCGTCCAGCCGGGAGGTGCAGCTCTGATCCTTCCCCGGGACACCCAGAAAGGCCTGCAGGCTGTGGGCTGTGGGGTCCAAGGCCCCCAGGTAGAAGGAGGCCAGGGTGCCGAAGAGCGTCGTCGGGGACAGGACGGCCGCACGGGTGGCAGCCCACGGCTCGCTCAGCGTCTTGTACATGCGGAAGCCCATAAAGTTGAGCAGCATCCCCACTGTGCGCGCCCTCAACTTGTCTTCCCCCTCAAACTTCTGAGCGGCCAGCACCAGCTGCTCCCGCAGCGCCGCCTCATCCAGGGGGGACGTCTTGGCCTGAATGGGGACAGGCGTGAAGGTCGGGTCTTGGGGCGTCTCGGCGCTGGGCTTCTCCAGCTGGTCGCAGCTGCTCTTGCTGTAGACGAGGAGGTGGAAGGGGTGTATGTACACCCGGTCGGCGGCGGGTCGGCCAGCCCAGGCCAAGAGACAGAGCACGGTGGCCGCCAGGCTCACACTTGCAGGGGCCATCTCTGCGGGGCGCTGGCCTCTGAGAACCCTGAAAGGTTTGGCGGAGGGTGAGCGGTGGTTATGGAGTGCCCTCTCGCCAGGCTTGCGCCACCATCCCCTGCAGCCTTTAGCCTGGGCAAACCCATCCATGGCTGCAAATTTTAACAAGAAGAAATGGATTCAAAGGCGCACCGAAAACACTTAGGCGATCCAAGTGCAGAACGCCCAGTTACGGCTGGGGTGGGTATGCTTTTGCAGGGTTCTATTCAGACGTTCGTTTTGTTTTGTTTTGTTGCATTTCTGTAACAGTGGGTCTATCCCTTCCTGCTGACACGGGACTCCTGTAAAAGGTCCAGTTGCCAGGGGAAACTGTGGACTGAGTGCTGGGGAAATCCTGCAGGACAGGCCCCAGCGGGCGGGGCGTGGGCCCAGCAGGTCAGCAAGCCCCCGCCCCGCTTTGCGCGTTTGTGAACCGCTCAGGCCCCCATTCAGGTGAAGCCATTTCATGGGTTATTTGCAAGGCAGAGGCTGCTGTTTGCTCTCAGTTGCAGTCAGCCCTCCTGCAGTCGGCACTCAACAGGGGGTCCGGGTCTTGGGGGAGCTCCTGTCAGCAGCCCACTCCCTATGGGTCTCCCTTCCCTCACGCCCTCCTTCTTGATGTCCCTGCTCCTGGTGGCTCTGCGGCTCCACAAAAACAGTGAGGGTGGCAGCTAACACAAAATCACGCATGTCACTGCCAGGGGCTGCTCTAGGTTTTTCCTGTATCCTCTTATCTAATCTTCACAGCAGCCGGTCCCTTGCTGCTGAGGCTTCCTGGATTTCCTGTTGCAGCGGCTGCGCCTGGCACTCTGAACTCACCCTGCTCTGCTTTCCTTTCGCCATAGCCCTGATCACCTTGTAACACTGTGTATGGTTTACCGGTTTATCTGTTTATTGCCTGTCTCTTCCCCTGAACGCAAACCCCACAAAAACAGGGTTCCTGCTCTGTTTCTTTCGCTGACAGACACCACATCCCCCTCTGCCCACCTCCCTCCCACCAAAGCGCCTGGGGCGTAGTAGCCACTTGAAAAGTAAGTTGTTAAATGAATTCATTAATGTTCCTTTGCAGAGGAACAGAGGTTCAAGGTCACACAGTTAGTAAGAGACAGAACTGGGATTCAAACCCAGAATCTTGAAGCCACAATCCACACACACAAGCAAACATCCTATGTTGTATCTTGAACAAAACTAAGTATTTACCTTTGTGGTTTATCTGAAAGTTCAGAAAGCATTTCCTATTCCATTGCTCTTAATTTGTACCCTAGTCCATGAGCAAGGGAGTTCCAGGCACTGATTTATTCCCATTTATAGACGAGCAAACGGAGGCTCTGAGAGGCAGCGAGGAGCTGAGCTGCTCCAACCCAGGTCCTGCGCCCAGACTCAGGGAGACGGGCCGCCCCTCACCTGTGCCCGGTGCCAGCACCGCCCTGGGCGCCCCGAGCCTGGCCCCACCCTCTCCCAGCTCCACTGCCTGCGCAGGCCTTCCTGCTCCTTCCGGCTGGAAGGGGACCCAGTGGACCCTCGGCCACCATGACCTGGTCCTGTGCCGGCCCCAGAGGACCCGGCTCTGCTCAGAGGGAGCGGGAGGACCAGCCACCCTGCCAGCTGCAAGGAGGACTGGGATTCTGGAGAACCCAGGGCAGGGCTGAGGGGGCACAGCTCGGGCGGGGGGAGTGGCATCTTCTGAGGCTCCGGGGATAATGTCCCCTGCGACGGAGGTCACCACAGTCCCCTGGCTTCTGGCTGCTGGAGGCTGGTTAGCTCTGGCCCCTCCCCGCCGAGCCCCAGCCTTCCAGGCCCCGCAGGCAGCTCAGCTGCTCTGGGAGAGATGGGAGGGGGCTGGGGCTTGGGAAGGGTGGGTGGAAGGGGCTCCCGGCTTACCTTCTGCTTCAGTCCCCAAGACAAGGGCAGCCTCTGCCTCCAGCCGGGCCACGGAGGCCTCTTTATATCTGAGGGGTGGGGATGGAGCCGTTCCCAGGCTGTTCTGTGCCCAGGCTGGGGCGAGGGGTTACATCACAGTGGGGGTGGGGGCCCCAGCAGCCAGGGGGACGGGCGCCAGAGGGACTCTCACGCTGGGACAGCTTCCAGGAAGCCGGGCTGATCGATGCACCATTCGCTGCTGAACAGAACGAGCTGGTGCACGGCCAGTTACACATTGACTGAGGCTCACCCGAGCCGGGGCCACGGCCGGCGAGGCGCAGCAGCATCATCCCCTGTGGGTATGCGATGCGTGTCTGACCCGCATGTGAAGTGCTGGCCCAGGGCAGCCACCGAGCCTCCTGACGGAGCTGCCTTGGGGCGTGTGCGCTCCTGAGAGGCCCCGGGAGTGGCCCGGGCTGCCTTCTGACCCTGCGGCCTCGAGCGGCTCCGCGGTGGTCCACAGAGCCAGTGGGAGGCCCCCGGCAGCCGTGGAGAGAAACACACAGCCAAGCAAAAGCACCTTCTAGAGGCTTGCGATTTAGCAATAGTACAGCCAGGTGGGAAGGCACCACCAAAATGCTCTCAGCCTGGGGAAGGAGCAGTGTCAGAGCTGCGGAAGCTCTCGGGGACAAGTGCCATAGCAGTCAGCCTGGGAGGGGAAAGAAGGTGGACACTGAAGACGGACAGGCTTATTATACAAGAGTAACAAAGAGGTGGGGGAGGGGGGCTTGTTGGAGGGGCCCGCGGGCCCAGGTGCGGGAAGCAGGGCCAGTCAGAGCAGCAAGATGGCTTCTGCTCCCGGGGTCTGAAAGGTGAAGCCTGTTGCCACGCCGGATCGGTGAGTGGCACAGAAAGGAGAGCCGCTGGCCGGAGCCTGAGCACCTCGCGTGGAAGTCAGAGTTGGGGCGCAAAAGGAGGGACTGAAGATGTCTGCGTGGGATGGTGACGTAGGGCTTGAGGCCCGCTTTTAAAATCTTACTCTAGTACTGACGCTGTGCTGGAAGGCTGGAGGGAAGGCAGAGAGAGCTGCTCAAATCAGGCGACTGAGGGTGATGGACCGACAACCAGGAAAGGGAACCAGAAAGCACGGAGCTTTGGGGAAGGAACGCAGAGTTGGATTTGGGACTGTTTCTTTCGGAGCCTCTCTTGGCACCCAGTGCTGAAGGCTTGGGGGGGGCAATTCCGCTGGTCAGGAGGGAGGTCTGGGCCGGACGCATAGATGGGGGAGGCAAACACATGGAGCGTAACTCACAGCCTGTGGGCAAGACGGTTCACCCAGGGAGGGTTACAAATGAGGAGCGAAGCCCTGGTCGGTGGGGCTCAGTGGGCTGGGTGTCATCTCGCAAAACTAAAGGTCTCAGTTTGATCCCTGGTCACATGCCCGGGCTGCAGGTTCGGTCCCCGGCCGAAGACAAGTGCAGGAGGCAACATATCGACGTTTCTCTCTTACATTGATGTTCTCTCCCTCTCTTCCTCCCTCCCTTCCCCTCTCTCTAAAAATAAATAATAATTAAACAAAAGTGAGCAGAGACGACAAGAGGGACACTTAGAGAGACGGGGGATGGAGGAGCAGTCCGGGCAGGGGTTCCGAAGGGCAGCGCCAGCACCAAGCGACAACCTTCCAGGAGCCGGGAGAGAGTTTGGAGAAGCGAGAAACGAGGAGCTGAGAGAGACCTTTGGGGCAGAATGTCAGGAAGGCTTAAACCTTGGTGCTGAGATGTCTCCGTCCAAACAAAGCCTTGTCAAGCAATCATTGACCGGCTCTTTGCCGGTCACCAAAGGCCAAGAGGAAGTAGGTGGAGGTGAAGGCTGAGCTGGAGAGTGACCTCGGGGAAGAATGAGGAAGGGCCAGGCTGAGATGGCCTGAGAGGCCTGGGGGAGGGGACGGGCAGATGGGCTGTGAGCTGCACTTTAGGGAAATGTTGTAATGAAAGGAAGAGGAGGGATCAGGAGACTTGATGTTCTCAACTCTAAGACAGAGGAAGAAAGAACTCCTATTCATGGAGTAGGTGCAACGTCAATGTTACTATCCCCGCCTAGGGAGAGAAAACCAAGGCCCCAAGAGGTTTGACCATTTGCTAAAAGTCACCCAGAAAAAAACGGTGAAGCCAGGGCTGTGTGACCCCAACACCCACTCTCCTCCTACCACGCCCATTCATTCGTTCAACGACTATGTCTTGAAAACCTACTACATGCCAAGAATGGAGTGCGTCTCTGAGGTCACAGCTGAGCCCCAATCAGGCACAGTCCCCGCCCTCACGAAGCCCACAGCTGTGCGACAATCATTTACCGCACAGAGAATGACTTCTTTGCAGGTGGGACAAATGTGAGGAAGGGGAACAGCTGTGAGCAAGCGGGGTCCATGGCAGGAAGCCTGGTGTAGCCTGAAGGTCGGGAAGACTTGCTGGTGGAAGGAGCAGGCAGGGCAAGACCTTGAGGAGGAGTCGGGACGGCTGCGGGAGCCGAGGCGGGGGAGGCCAGGGCCGCCCTCCCAGGGACCCGCCCAGACCATTCCCACACACCCGCGCCCAGTCTGCACGCACCCACACACCCATACACATACCTACACACACATTCACATGCACAGAAAGGAGATGGGAAGAATATATACTAAAATAATAAAAGTTTGCAATAGTAAATAGCTGGGTGTGCAGGACCTTTATTTTCTTCTGAGTTTTTCAGATTTTTTCTTCAATTATTTTTTCACATTGACTCTGTTTACTCCTGCAACAAAAAGCTGTGTTTTAAATAAAAATAAATGTTATAAATAAACAGTTCACAGAGGGTGTCTGCGAGATGTGAGGGGTGAGGAGCCCTCAAGAAGAGCACGGTCTGGGGGGGTGTGCATGTGTGTGTATGTGTGTATGCAGGTGTGGTGTGTCCATGGCATCTGTGCATGGGCTGTGGAAATGTGTGTGTGGTGTGGGTGTGTGTATGATTGTGTTGTGCGTGGTGCCGTGCATGTGTGCGTGGTGTGTGGTGTGGATGTGCGCAGTGTGTGTGGTGGCCGCCTGGCCGACCGGCATATTGTCGGGGGTTACCCGCCCCGCAGGGTCACTTCTGTGGAAACAGCTCACGCCTGCCCAGGGTGGCCGACCCGGGTGTCTGGGCTCCCGCCCTTTCCTCCATGTCGACGGAAGGGGCTTTGATACCGCGTTGCCCGGTTCTTTCCTCTGTCCTCCCGGCTGCCACTGGGCGTAGGCCCCCTGGGCGTGACCCCATCTATCCACCTCAGTCAGCACAGGGCTCCCGGCCACTCCCAGACCACCCCTGGCCGCGCTGGGCAGCCGGCTCCTGCTGCCCTCGGGCCCTCAGATCAGAGGCTCCCCTCCCCCTCCGGCCCCTGCCGCCCGCCCCCCGACCCTCTGCCCCAGACCCAGGTCACCCTGCCGGGCCCATTATCAGTGCCCTGTGATCCGTGTCCTTCAGCAAGTCACCTCTCTCAGTGCCTTCCGCCCTGAGAGTCCCTGTCATAAATGTGTACATCCTGTGGTATATTTGAAAACAGCTTCTCAGGGATCACGACGCAGGTCAGAGTTCATTCAAGCTGGGCCCAAGGTGGGAGAGGCTCTAAGCGAACGCAGAAATTTCCCTCTCGGTAATGACATGGTATTGGGGAGAAAATAAGGAAATAATCAGTTAGGTTGGACACAATAAAGATGCCTTCGTAAATGTTTTGCAAGGTGAACGGCCCTTAGTCAACTCCCATGGGCTGGGTAGATTGTCTATGCGAGGCTTTTAAGCTCATTAGAATAAATCAGAAAATTGCTGGAGTATGTTATCAAGAATGGAAATTATCCCCAGAAGGAGTAGCCACTCAAACAGACCACAGACTTTGACCCAGTTCAGATTTAGGACAATTTTCTTTCCAATGGCTGCTACTTTTTGTGTGTTCACCCCATCGTGGGCAATTAGGGAGAGTTTATCTGAATAAAGACTGTACAATGACAAGTAAATGCTGGCTAGGGAAATGAAGTATTATATTTTGCCATGTATAAGGTGCACCCATGTTTTTGTGCACATTATACACAGGATTATTATATCCCATGTTATGTAATTGTTATATCCATGTGCAATGCAAATCCTTATTTCTCCGTCAAAAATTGGAGCAAAAAAGTGCGCATTCTGTAAGCCATACTCAGAACCTGATCCAGATGCCAAAGATGGGCAGTTGGCAGACTTGAGCCACAGTGACCCGGCGGTCAGGGGTGCCCTTCGAGCAGATGACCTCTGAAGGCCAAGTCTCCTCTGTCGTTACTCAGACAAGGCTTGGCCTAAACCAGAACCTGCTTCCTCATCTCCTGACCAGCTAGGAAGTCATGGACAAAAACTCACAAACTCTTACTCTAAAGCAAAACAAAGACAAACCAGGAAAGTAAGAGAAGTTCTATTTATGTATGTGATGCAATCCGACTTGGAACCAGCTAGGACGAGGCAAGGCAAGGATGAGGGGGAAACATACAACGAGGTTTCCAGGTTTGCTTCTAGGACAAACTTGTCTCACGGGGGACTGCTTTCTGCCTGGATCAGAACTGTTAGTCCACAAACATGCCTGGTGCGAGTCATGTGACCACGAAACGTCATTTCCTGGAACCGGGAGCAGGAGGACCTCGCTGTCATACTTCCAAGTTTTCCTTTTTATGACGAGGACACTTTCTACCACTTCTGAGTCCTCACCGCTGCTCATCTGAGAGCTGGAACCAACTACTGGGGGTTCTCCATTTGTAAAATGAGCTCCTTAGAAGTTAATCTCTTTCTTTTTTTAAATTCTCTCTGAGGATATGTTTATTGATTTGAAAGACAGAAACATCAATGTTAGAGAGAAATATCAAGTGGTTGCCTCCTGTATGCACCCTGACCATAGCTCGAACCCACAACATAGGCATGTGCCCTGACCGGGAATCGAACCCACAACTTTTGGTGTACAGGAGGATGCTCCAACCAACTGAGCCACCCAGCTGGGGCCCATTTCTTCCTAATAACGAGCACTCTCAGTTGGCTCCCCTGGGCTTCAGACTCCTGGTAAATAAAACAAAATAGTCCCAGCTCCACACATCACTAGGAAGAATCTGTTCCCCCTCTTTGCCCTTTTAAGCACCAC